TCTCTCGGTCTGGGGCTCCATGCAAGATCTCACCTCGTGGAGTTGCAATGATCATGAGAACGGTGAGGAATCAGCCCAGAACTACACGGGAGGATCTTGTCAATGATCTCAAGGCAGCTGGGACCATAGTCACCAAGAAAACAATTGGTAACACACTACGCCGTGAAGGACTGAAATCCTGCAGCGCCCGCAAGGTCCCCCTGCTCAAGAAAGCACATATACATGCCCGTCTGAAGTTTGCCAATGAACATCTGAATGATTCAGAGGACAACTGGGTGAAAGTGTTGTGGTCAGATGAGACCAAAATGGAGCTCTTTGGCATCAACTCAACTCGCCGTGTTTGGAGGAGGAGGAGTGCTGCCTATGACCCCAAGAACACCATCCCCACCGTCAAACATGGAGGTGGAAACATTATGCTTTGGGGGTGTTTTTCTGCTAAGGGGACAAGACAACTTCACCGCATCAAAGGGACGATGGACGGGGCCATGTACCGTCAAATCTTGGGTGAGAACCTCCTTCCCTCAGCCAGGGCATTGAAAATGGGTCGTGGATGGGTATTCCAGCATGACAATTACCCAAAACACACGGCCAAGGCAACAAAGGAGTGGCTCAAGAAGAAGCACATTAAGGTCCTGGAGTGGCCTAGCCAGTCTCCAGACCTTAATCCGATAGAAAATCTGTGGAGGGAGCTGAAGGTTCAAGTTGCCAAACGTCAGCCTCGAAACCTTAATGACTTGGAGAAGATCTGCAAAGAGGAGTGGGACAAAATCCCTCCTAAGATGTGTGCAAACCTGGTGGCCAACTACAAGAAACGTCTGACTTCTGTGATTGCCAACAAGGGTTTTGCCATCAAGTGCTAAGTCATGTTTTGCAGAGGGGTCAAATACTTATTTCCCTCATTAAAATGCAAATCATTTTATAACATTTTTGACGTGCGTTTTTCTGGATTTTGTTGTTGTTATTCTGTCTCTCACTGTTCAAATAAACCTACCATTAAAATTATAGACTGATCATTTCTTTGTCAGTGGGCAAACGTACAAAATCAGCAGGGGATTAAATACTTTTTTTCCCCTCACTGTATGTGCTCTCTGGTTGCCAGGGTGAAACGTGGGCTAAGTTTTGCTCCGATCTTGGCCCAGCTGGCTAACAGAAAACAAACTAACCTGACGTGATGCGCGAACATTATCAATGGGGATACCAAGGCAGTTAAGCACGTCTTGTTCTAGCCGTGTCGTGTGCAATGGCAGCCTTAATGGGTGCTCACTAATGGCAAGAAGTTGGGTCAAAAAGTGCGAGTGTGAGTGTGAACTATGATATCACAGTTGTCTAAAATCCCATTCGGCATTTGCTGTGGAACATCACGGGCAATACCTTAATCATATACCGTCTCATACCTCCTGATAAACATTCATTATTAATCAGTCCAACTGCCTATTGGCCTTCCATAATTTTGAAAATACAAACTCCGGACCAAGCAAAGTTTGCATGTTTAAACAAATGTGCTGGTTAACATATTTTATTACCTAAGTCTGGAAGGCCATTAGGCCGAGAGACTAAATATGTGATATTTGTACGTAGGTGGAAATAATGAACGGGAGCTGGTGTACTTAAATTACGTAGGCCTTTGAGACGATGGGCAACTGTTACACGGGACTTATAAACGAGTGAGCCTGTCCTCCACGTGGGTAGCATGTGAGTGATGCCTCTGCCATGCTGGCAGCAGCCACCCTCCGTAAATAACAGAAGGCAGAGGAGGGATGCTTGCAGCAGTGAATCAGGCAGCTCTGCCACAGCGAGGGGGTGAAATTGAGACCCGGTTGGTATTAAACAACAGGAAACCCATAACGCATGGGTCGGTGCCATGAATTCACATCAGTGAGCTGTTACATTTACTTGGTCTCGGAGTGCACTGATGCTACATTCCCACGGCTATCTAATAGCCTGGATTCTCACAGCAGCCTGCGAGCTGAATGCCGACCGCACAGCTACATGTTTCTGGGTCACATGGCTTAAGACTTTGTAGTGAAAGCATCACCTGGTCAAAAACATTGTGTAGTAAAAAAGAGTCAATTTCAGTTTTTAGTGCTTATATGCAAGATGGGAGGTTAAAAGTGTCTCCGTAAATCAATTTAGAGCAGCTCTCATCTTCACTGTGGCTCTCGCCTATTGCAGGATATTCCACATTCCTATGGTAGCGGCAAGGCAATGCGCAGAAAAACCAATGGTGATGTGCAACAGAGTAGGATTCGCGTTATTCAACCCAGAGGGGTGAAGGGCTGAATTGACACCCAACTGAGACATCATGGATAGTGCTTAGATGGGCGACCTACACATAGGTTGTCATGGAGCTACGGGGTGCCACAGAGGGCAGTGAGCCATTACCCATTGTTCCACTGTCTTCTATACTCCCAAATCTCTGCTCCCCAAATTCAACGCGCCCACTGAAGAGCAAGGTAAAGTATGGTTAATCAACGCCCTTTGACCCGCATGGGGAGGCCCCCTCATCCAGCACGGGGTTGACAAGAGGGCCGTTCACGTGCACGCGCGCAGCCCCTCGGGATGTTTGGGCAGTTTTACAGAGAGTCTGTTTACAGTCCTTGATTTAACGGGGGGGGGGGGGGGGAATCATAATCTAGAGTCTCTCCCGAATGCTTGATGACATATAAGAGCAAAATGTAATTTAAATTATATTAGTGGTGATGCAGAGACGCAGGGCACAAGGCATATACCAATTGCACACTGGCCTATTTCTCTAAGCCTTAGTGAGTAATTGCATATTTAAAAGCACGTAAGATTTTGCTGACTTCTGCTTTCACTAAACCTACATTTCCCATTTCATTATTTGCCATGCCAAGGTGGCTGAATGCACCAGCAGTCAGCAAGCGAGCCATTAGGAGGTGGCTTAGGAGAGCTAATGCAATCTTAGAGCGCTTAGCCAGCACTTCTGATATCTTGCGCCTAAATTAACGTGCGTCCTCAAGTGAAGCAAGTTATTGGTCTCTGCCTAGCCAACAATGATTGAAAAAACAAAAAATCCATCACACTCCATTGTTTTTTTTAACATAAATTTTGGTACCTTTTATCCAACAAACTTAAGATGCAAGGATGTGCCCCACGTGACCATAGTCGTACATTCCCATTGTATATCGTTATAAGTAGAGAGGACCGTACAAATAAGTGTATACAATAACACAAACGCACATACAGATGGCATGCCACTACACACGAGGCTGAAGACATCTCCAGCCGTATGTTGGGCAACCTTATACGTTCCAACGCACGTGCGCGTTTGAACCAACAGTGTGTTCGAACGCACGTGCACAATTATGTGCCAATAAACATTACGTGTAAATAAAACTCTTTTTTTCAACAAGGTGTGCCCCTATTCTGGACAAAGAGGTAAATTGAATTGACTTCAGAAGTAGTTCTGCTATGTCATCTGCTACCGAGGCTCTGTGAAATTTCTTCATGGAAATTGATCACGATATGATAGCAACATCATAATTGGGATGTAACTGGGTGGTAGGAGGAATACATGAATAATTTGTTTAGAAACTAAAGGCTCGTGAAATTGACATTGGAGATGACTTTTCAAAAATAACCATACCAGCAATCTACAGCCTCTGTGTAGTCACGAGGTTGAGGGAAACTCGGCGGTGTTCCACGTGCTGCAGAGAAACCCGCGTCACATGTGCCACCTATCATTCAGGTCTTGAGGCCATGAACAATGATTGGTGGACACTTCCACGTTGCGAGAAAATTGAGCGCACCCAAGCTCAGGCACGGCAAAAAAAAACTCCCACATAGTTCGGACCCATTAGAAACATCGTGCACACAAGGCCCATGTACCCTAGGAGGGCGATGTTGCACAAAACGGTAAAACGGTGGCAAACGTTCATCGTGGAGGGGCACAATGGCTAAATCAGCGTGCAAATCATGAGCAAGACACGTGAAAAGAGCGTAATGTGAGTAATCAGGGGTCATTGTGTTGTTGCAAAAGGGAAGCTTCAGAGATTTATGCTAAAGTTGTTAAGATTTCCCGGCTGACGTCAACGAGTTGCTGGAGGTCACGTTGATATGTAATATGTAAACAAACACGTCACTAATATATTTGCATTATTTTTCAAACCCCAAGGCCATTATCCCTCTAAATGTGAAGCAGTGTTAATCTCTTTTGGCAGTAGTGAAAATTCCACATTTTCGTCTGTCCACAGGACAAAGGCTGCTGCCTTCCCACAAAGTGGTACCAATTTTATCCACACTGAGCAATGATTTTGTTCAAATGCCTTTGTCGATGTCCATGTTTATGATCCATGTCATAGCAGGTAATATACACCGATTAGGCACATCAGCGGCGAAGATGTAAGGTACACTAAGAAGCATGGACAGCTGCATGTTTGGAAGTACACTCAGAGGCAGGACGAACAAAAGTTAGAGATAGCATATTGCCTGTTAACAAAGTCATTGTGCTTGGGCAGGGCAATTTGATAGAAGAGATGAGGACCAGTGGTCACGATGAAAGACAGAGTGGCAGACAATGGAGGAAACGTGCCCGAGAGGATTTCCGTCATGGAGTTCGTCACGGAATTGGGGCAATGAAATCAGCTTATGTGCAGGAGACATATCTATCATTGCATTGTGAAACTTGGGGAGAAATGGCAAAAAATGTACGGATGCCTTCATGCAGCAGTGGATAGATCCTGGCTGATGATGATGGAGAAATGTTGGACTAGGTTGAGCCCCAGGCGCAGGATTCGAATTCTCGCAACAAAAATCCGATGGTGAATAATCGTGCACTCTGGCACAGCAGCACCAGACCAGGTTTAAACGTTGGGCGAGAAGCCGAATTAAGCGACGTCTCCAGTAGTTCTGTAATGTCTCCTTCTCCAGGATTAATTCCTTATGTGGTGTCCCGCTGATGGAGCAATTTCCAGGACTTCACTTCGACCCCGAAAGAAAGCGAACTCATTGTAAAAAAAAAACAAATGAAAGTTACGTAATTGTTTGAAATTGTGTGTTCATATACAGTATTTATTCACTTATTTTCTAACACTTATTTTTTACAAACCTTTTAACAGTTCTGTACAAGGGTAATCGATTGCGAAAGCATATTGGGAAGAAAAAAAACACGATTACACATGTAGACAAAGTCTGTGCAAAAATACCGAAAAGAAAAAACACTGTCTACACAGGCACAGAGGACGAGAGATGCGCACCAAGGGGTAGGGGTCCAAGCTCCTCGAGATCAGAACCACAATTTAATACGATTCACATGCAGCGGGTGAGACCCTTCCTTTACTGCAGGGTGAGCTTAGCTGCAGAGTGGACAGAACCAGGCGCCTTCATCTGATAACGTTTGGCAATTACTGCAAACAGAATGAGGACTGTTGCTTTTTTCCCCCCTTTTCCTTGTTAATTACATTTTAAACACTAAAGGCATTATATTAACAATCCTCCAGTGTGTAAAATAATATACGGTAAAGCGTTTAAGTCGATGTCCTTTATTTAATCGGGCAATTACCCGATTCATAATCACTATCTCTCATGCATGGGAGACCTGGGGTCTCCGTTACTCCCTTATGAAGAATTTAGTTTTCGGTTTTAATTTTAGGATTTATGTTATTACACACATACCCAATGGTAGAGTCTTGTGACAAAGGGCAAACATTTTTTTTTATTGGCTACTGTATAACCGAATGGAGCGGTGGCACAGTGCTTAACGTATTGTGCGATGAACCCAGTAGAATGTGATATCTAAACTGGTTCTGCATACCACCTTCACAAATTCGCACTGACCAGCCTGGTGAAGTACGGTCACACAACTCCCATGACCTGCAGGCATGGGGAGGCCTTCATCCAGCAGTGGATTTGTTAAAGGGCCATACATTGCAGTATTATACAGCAAATGCAGTGGGCATCTGGTTATTCTCGGCACATATTATGAATTGAGGTTACAAGACCCAAATCCCAAGTTTACAAATGACCTACAACCAAAATCCAAGCAGTGATTACTATCCGTCTCTGCCTAGCCTATGCCATTTGGTCTTCGCTGGCAGGATAATAGATTCCAGTGTACTCTCTTCGGCTTAAATAAAGGACTGCGACTTATATCACATACATTAAGTTCAAATGAACAACAATTGCATTTAAATGAGCAGAGAACAGACAGAAGATCAGTTAACCGGGCGGTGTGAAAGGTTGACATGCACGTGAATTTGGCTTTACTACTTAACAGCACAATGAGTAAGATCTGAAACTGGCTTTACTGGGGACCTGCTCACACTCGCGTTTTGCCAACGCCACACACAATGTGTAACAACAAAGCCGAGTAAAAAAAGAAAAAAATGTGCATCAACTCTCTTAACCGCAACGTTCGGTTACGTGACGCGAACGCGTTATTTGATGGTGCTCAGAGGCTATGCAAAGAAAAAATATAAAATCTTGAAGTTTCTTGGACGCGACGTCATTTGCAGGCGATCCACTCCGTCCAGTGTCCCTTTTCTTTTACTGCTTTGATTTTCAAGACTTTCATCGGCACTGGGTGCATTGGACGCCGCAAGTGAAAGGCGTCTCAAATTTAAAGGGCAGGCTGGGTTAAGCACCAGGGGCGGTGCTTGGGGTTAGGGACATGGCTAGGGTCTCGTTGGCGAGTGCACGACACCCCTCCAACAACGCACCCCTTCCCGAAGCTGTTGCTTCGTATGAGCGGCGAACGCCGCGTGTGGTACTGGTCGCACCTCCCATCGTGCGCCGTTCCAGCCTTAACGGTTAAGTGTGCTCTCCACTTCGGGTGTTTATATGGCCAGCGGAGATCATCTGAGAATTAAGTGGCTCCGTGCCAGGGCTCCAGAGACCAAAGGTGAGGGAGGAGAATGAGCTGGGCAGAAAAGTAGCTACTTCATTGTCCCATTGCTCCTCAACAGCGGGCAGCACTATCGCAACGTCAAGGCTGCCTCCGGACATCAACATTCACAGATTGTCTTAACAATACCTTTAGCAATACCTTGACGATAGATGTAGGACTTTTTTTTTTTAGAAATTGAGCTGTAAATTCACGTCGTGAACAATGTTCTGTAGGCAAATTCAAATCAAAATGTCTCCCTACTCAGAAGAACAATGGGGCAATGATAACCTCTGTTTGTCAACTTTGGCCAGTGGTGGAAGTTTCACATTAGCATGGTGGGGCCAGTAATTCAATAGGACAGCCACTGCGGGAGAAATCATGGGTTGAGTCGACCAACAACGGAGGTCTACAGGTCAACCTTCGGCTGCTCAGCCAGTGGGTCACCTGGGCGTGTTCTGTAATTTTATATATTTTTGTTAGAATTCATCTCTGAAAACATTAATCGTGATTGTGCTGGAATATACACGATTCGAGGCAATAGTCTGATTGTGAAGACACAGGGGATGTCTCAGTGGCACTTTGCAGCTCTGATCATGAATCTTTAAAGACACCTCGCAAATGCAATCGCCCGTGAAACATCTTAGTGGCATCACCTTAAAATCTAAAGCTTTTTTAAAAGCTTGTTTGAACCCAATTTGTAAAAATTGATTTTGTAAAAGGTATATATATAGCTTTAAAAAATGAGTCACAAAAACGTAATTGCTCGTCACATGATGCAAAGTTAGCGTTTTAAGACCGTCTGAGCTCTCAAAGAAATGCACACACCATGATAGGGGAAGCAGTTACACACCTTGTTGTAAAACTACTTTAGTACACTCAGTGCACTACGACAATTGCACTTGAAAGGTGGTGCGGCCTGAGTCAAGCCTTGATGTTAGATGCTCTCATTTTTAAATACAATCATCACGCTGAATTATTGATTACTGGCATATCCAGGCACTTGTATGTGTAGGAGCAGAGGTGCGGCAGTTTAGCGCGGTTGGTGTCGTGATTCAGCGGACTTTGCTACAATTTCCGTGATGTGAGTTTGATTCCTGGCCATGATACATAAACGACATTGGCAAGTGATGTCCGATGTCTCAAACAAGTACCATGCACGGCATGTAAACATCAGCAGTGGGGAAACAGAAGCGGTTGGGTGTGGGTGCCTGCCACACCATCGCACACCGCACCAGCCTTTGTAGGTGCTCACTAATAGTACTCGCCCTTACCAGCTATCAGGAAAAATGGGGGGGGGGGGGGGGGGATGCGTTTGCCCTTTGTGTGTCGGAGTTCATGTATTTTTAATAAAGGCACACAACGTCTAACACACCTTTGGTCTATCGTCAAAGAAAAACAGCCGGGGACAGCCTCACGATTGTCCTACCTCGTTTCGGGACTTGGTGCACTGGCAAATGCCCAAAGGGCACCGGACTAGCCACGGCAGCCTCCATGGTGGTGGCGGCAAACGGCAAAAGCAACCGCGACACTCTGCCGGCGGTCGGAGGCGACGTGGAAAATCGCGGCTTTTGGTTCCCCAAGATGCAGTGTGCCCCGGGGGCGGCCGAAAGCCATTCCGTCGTACCATTTGCTGTTCGCCGCATCGCTCCGTTTGGTAGCATTGCGCTGGAGGTTCCATTCATTCCGATGGAGATAAGGGAGTGTGGCTTTGTCGAGTGTTCCGCTTTGTTGGCTGGTATGGTCATGACCCTGACGAGTAGTCATTAGAGATGACAAACCTTTGGCAGAGGCGGTGTTGGGCTATTTGTCACTGCATGATGGTAATTAATATCACACGGGTCCTTTCTTAACCCAAACAATTCCCTCCGAAGGGTCATCCCCGCTGTATCTTGCCACTTCCTTTTTGAGTAACGGCACTTCACGCCGGAGGAAGTGCCTGGAGAAACCCCCCCCCACACGAGGGTCAATATTCAAAATTCTGCACAGAGTGGTTGGCAACCACCTCCTTGCTGTACAGACTCACCATAGCCCTGCAGGATTGGTTGCTTCTCGTGCACACGCCAATGCCGCACGTGCAATCGACCAACTGTGTCCTTCCAACGGGGGGGCGAGTCGTGGGATTGTCGTACCACGAGTTCAGCGGCCAGCGGTTCAACCGCCTGACAAACGCTGGGCCTGCCACCCTCTTTTTGTTTGCTCGTTTGGCCTTTGCCCGGTTGCATGAGAGGTTGGACCAAGCGTGGTCTCACAGCACGGGCTGGAGGGGCTCCGGCACCAGCTTGCGCAGCAGCTTGTTGAGAGCGACCACCTTCTCTTCCAGCAGGAAGCTCTTGCGCTCGGCCGTGCGCTGCCGCTGCTCCATGAGCTGCAGGTCTTTCATGAGCTTCGAGTTCTCCACGTACAGGTCCTTGATGCGCAAGTCCGCCTGCTCGTTGCGGTTCAGCTGTTTGGCGGGCGAGATGACAAGCCATGTTAAAGCACGCGCGCGCGCGTGTGTGTGTGTGTGTGTGTGTTGACAAAAAGACTTCTCCCGACAGCGCGTTGGTAATACTATTACACATCGTGGTCAAGGTTAAAAGGTCATCACGGCCGAGGTGATGATGTCACGCCACACCTTGACATCAAATTGTGCAACTATTGCACAGCTGACAAACGGCTGCTATTTCAAGTATCCCCATCATTCATATTTCATGGGGCGGTGATGCATTCACTGCTTGTTACACAGAGGTTCGCGATTCGTATCCGCCAGTCCCCCCTGGTTATTACTTTGAGTGCATTAACTAGGAAATATGTGCAATCTGCTTCACAGTGGACGTTAGAGATCCCCCCACGTAATTCGAAATGCGTGGATCACTGTGTACCGGCGTCATGGTCCAAATTTGCAAAAATGCGAACAATCTGATAAATTACTGCATTTGGGATTACGCAGAGCAATGTACGTGTGTATGTTGAACTTCTTTCGCACCGTATGTAGCCAACCGTGCTTATCGGAGGTGCAAATCACCCCCATTAGCAATCTCATCACCACCCATTACTCGCAGACTAATGCTTGCTTTCAGACCAGGTGCCGAGTCTGCCTTGCGCCGCACAGGGGCAACTTCGACTGGGGGTGCCATTTCAAACAGTGCTGCGATGGGAAGCAAGTCGCTCCGAGATGCCCCAGCGTAAAGGAGGGCGCCGCTCCATCAAAAATGAATCCTCACTATTGTCGTCTTTATCGTCATCTCTGCCTGAGGCGCACAGTATCACAGATGTAAGTACCCCCCCCCCCCCCCCCCCCCCCCCCCCCCCCCCCCCCCCCGCTTGTGGCATACGAGGTCAGTGTGTACGTTGTATAAGGTGCAGCAGCTTGCAGGGGAGGGGGGACCTCGGCGGTAGTACCTGGTCCCTGAGCTGCGTCACCTTCTCCTGCAGCATCACGCGCACAGACTTGAGCTTCCCTTCCACCTCCTCCATGCGCGAGCCCATGCTCTTCAGCATGCGCTCGTATGCCTCCTGAACGCGCACACGGGCAGCCATCGGTGAGCAAAATCTCTCTGCGCATTACGTTGTCCTTTCGATAACTGATTATAATGTATAGTCTCTCTTTTAGATAGACTGTTGCATGAAGGTCTCCCTCGCCCCCTGCCCCACTCCACCCCCCATCCCCCCCCCCCATGCCAGGTCAAGCCTAGAGGTTGTTTGTTTGACCATACTTCACTACCCTGGTCAGTGCGGCTTGTTAACTGGGGAAGGGAACCCAGGACCAGTTCTGATACTCGCCACTGATTACAGCAGCGGCAGGGGACTCAAACTCAGGTTCACAGTCCTGTGCGCGAATCACCACATCACATATAAGGGTCTCCCTGCTACAGAGAGTGTTGGGGCAATGCTTGTCTCAATTGGCAGCCCTGAACCATTGGTGAAAATTCCACATTCCAATTATGTGAGCCACTTTCCGCAAAGGACACCCACTGCTGACTTCACATAGAGTGGTAGTTATTTTATCGACCTCGAAGGGATGATGAGCACGAATAAAAATGCCAGTATCTTTTCAATTTACCTTTATTACAAGCTATCACAAGAGAGCGTTCCTACATACGATGAATACAATGTGGTGTCTTTGCGTCATCATCCGATGAAATAAACACGTACGTTGAAACTATAAACCAATTAGCATTCCAATCAATGCCTCGCAGTAGGACTTGTTACAGCGAGGCAAGCCATGGGCCAGTTTTGACTTCTCTGAGCCTCATCAGTAGGGCTTGGTCCATTAAACCAAGTACCACGCACATCTACCAACCAAAAACAATCACACTGTGGAGAAAGATGCTCACAATTACGGCTCTGCCTCTGAAAAACGATGCAAAAGCAGCACAATATATCTGGACTTTGAACAGGACTTGGTGCCCCACTGTTATAACACGAGGTTGCGCCTCAGCATTTGGCTAACAGTGCACATGCTGCAGATTTATTTAGCAGTCCAGATGAAAGACAGGAGACTTCAGATGAGGCTCATAGATGTCAAAACTGGTCAAAGGCTTCCCTTGCTGACAAAAAAAAATGGCTGCTGCAGAAGAACAGTCGTCTGGAACGCCCACTGGTTTGATGAACAAAAGCTTTTTTGTGTTTTATCGTCACTGGTGACCGAGATTGAAATGCATGAGAACTCAGTTTAATCACAAGCGGGAGCCAAGGATTTGAATTCAGGGCCTCGGCGGGTTATGGTTCAGCGCTCTGGCAAGGGCAAAACATCGACCCCCAGAGCCACGAGGCCACTTCTAAATCTAAGTGCAGATCAATGTGTGAGTGGTTAAAGGAACGTGAGGTTTCTATTAATCAATTCCTTCATCTGAGGCCAGATGAAAGCCTCCCGAAGCAGTCTCTTCTACGTCACGAATGCAAATTGTGCCTTTCATGGCAAACGGAATTCAAAATTCCCTTTTTTATAACGATCACAAAGATAGATTTGCATTTGAACAAGCCTCAAATCCCAACTGCTACGACAAGCAATAATTAATCTGTCGACTCGCACAATATTTGCTAAATGTACAGAAGGTGTACATGATGAACGTGCGTCGCTGTTCACGCTAGAAGACGACGCTATCCACATGCCAACTGCAGGGCTCTGCCAAATGCGACGTGTCAGACATCACAGACATATACACGATGTTGTGACAAATACACAATATTGTGGCGCATCAGACCCACAGATCCTGAGACTTCCTCCAATCCACCACTTCACAGACGACATAATTTTTTAGCTCTACACTTTTGTTATTTGAGAAAATGAGCGCAAGGTCAAGTGAAAGTTTCCTACGTACATCCAGAGACACATCACGGTGTGTACGAGTACTAATGTAAAGTTATAAAAATTATTATTAGGCAAAGGTACAAGTGCAGGTCTGCATTTTCTTGCTCATGTCCCTGCTGGAGGAAGGATCTCCGCTAAGGCTTTAGAGAGCCCCTGCTAGAGGGCATTTTTGCCTGCTCTTCCACATCAACTGGTTGTTTTTGAAAAATTGGGAGTACCCACACTTTACCCCACGGCACACGATCTGTCGATAAACTAACTATCATGGTGCACCCATTCATTCTTCTGGGTGGACAGAGGCGTAGAGATGTATTATTATAGATTTTTTTACTTAAGAAGTGGATTAAAACATTTCATTGTGCTATGTACACTTCGCTGTATCCTGTACATATGACAAATCAACTTTGATTTTATTTTGATTTGACTTGGAATTGAATCGGCGACCTCTGTACTGCGAGTCCAGCACGCTAACCATTACACCACCGTGGCAGCGGCCGCAAATGATACACGCGAGCAAGCGACGAATGGCGAGCAGGCGAGGGGTCCATCACTGCGGGGGCCTGGCAGAGGCCCAGAGCCCACCTGCTGCTCAGCCGTGCTCCCGGCCGAACGGCCGTGCTCCAGCTCGGTCTCCAGATGTCGCACCCGCTGCTCCTCCTCCGCCAGCCTCTGGCGCACCTCCTCGAGGCGAGCAAGCGGGACGTGCGACTGCGCCTGTCCAATAGGGAGGGTGATAGTGGTGCACGCACACACACAAAAAGACTAAGACAAAGATCCCCCCCCCCCCCCCCCGTATCGCCTAAACAGACTGTTGGGGCAAGTGCTGTTCGCGAGTAGCACCTGTGAAGGCCGGCACGGCACATGAAGGGGTGGGGGGCCTATAGCACCACAACAGGCCGACTTTGTCTCCCAGTGGCAATGTTTACACATCGCACCAGGTACTCATTTGAGACTGAGTCGACCTAGGAGAGGCCCAGGACCGATTCAGATAATCGTCACTGGTGTTGGCTGTGAGAGGAAATCGAACTCGGGTCACCGGGTTTGTAGCGCAGTGTGCTAACCACTGCGTCATCGCTCCCCAAGGGGGATCTTTGTCTTTGCACGTACGCACACGATTATGAGGACTTCACTCTTGTTTCAGCTGCATGTCTGAAATGTGTACGGAGCGGGTATCACCCACACGTAATGGGAATGACAAAGTTAAAGCCCCACACATGTAGGTTTTTGAAAACCAATTATAATGATTGATAATTCGTTTTTAAGTTATATTGAGGTACGACGTTTCATTGGTAATGGAATCTAGCACCGTCATATTATTGTCAGACTTCAAGTCATTCACTCACGATGCCAGATGCAATTACTAGCGAAACGTCATACCTAATTGTTGCATGTGTGCTCTAGCAATAATAACGTGAACATATTTAAGATGCAATGCCTATACTCCTGACCATTGTTAATAATCGTTTGAGGTCGTTCTCCCAAAACCTATTTGCCAGGATATATTATTCTTACGTACAGCATATTCGTTCGTGATCTCTGTCCATATTATTCCTACCCACCCATGGTGTCTGAGAAAAAAAGTGGCACTGGAGATTTTCACGGAACTTCTTTAAAAAAAACCTTCATGTTTAGTCACCTTTTTATTCTTTACATATAAGGGGGACACTTTTCCACGTGTTAATGATATGAGATTTGTATTTGCGGCATGACATTCAAGCCAACAGGTGAATTCTCAGAGCCTGCATTCAGCCAAATCACCAAGCTGACACCATTGAACCCGTTTTTAATCACGAGTGGCGGTCAAGATTTGAATCCAGGACCTCAGCAGTGCTGTGTACTTTTACTTCATTAGTTTTTTTAGAGACCTTAAAAATCATCTGTTAAATCCTCTCTTAGGCAAAACACATTTTTTTCAGTTGGGTTCTGCCTGGGATGTTTTGGTTAATTCCCTGTTGATTATATTTTGCACGTGGGAAGAAACTGGAGTAGCCGATGTATACAAAGGGAAATTCTCAAAAAATTCCTGTGGATGATTAAGCAACTATTTGCTGCTCTGCATCTGATGGTGTCCCCATAGCACACTTCAATTGCGTTCATATTGCGGGTCATTAATGTTTAGCTTAGTTTCACGTTGGTCACAACAATATACACTAAGTTGATTTGTCTTTGAGCTGAGACCAGTCGGCTCACCCCTCCTAGAGTCGGGTGTATTGTACATGAAGGTTCGCTATAAACGACGCATATCTGTGGAATGCATCGAAGCGTTCAGCGACTGACTCACTGCCGTGCAAAGTTTCATGACCAGGCTAAATTTACTCACTTGTTATTAGTGACACTCGAGCAACACAATCTTCTTCGGGCGTGGTGCACGACGCAAGTATGATATTACATCAAAAAAAAAGTATTCTTAGCGTGGCATGCAATCGGTGCGATGTGATGTCAAGCAACACGGACCCGGCTGCCAAATCTAAAATAGAAGACTGTGACAACGACCCTTGTCGGCTCTACGGAAATAGCTCAATAACACGGTCGTAATTAAGGCCTTTGGGCCGCACAGACGGTCGGCCGAACCACTCTCTAAACAATGACATACCTGCAATGATGTAATGGCACCCGTCGATGATTGCCACGGTACATCATTGCTCAACAACATGATCCAATCCGTAGCTATTTCTACGCCCGGGTCGACGCGGTGGCAACACCAGCCTCGTTCACCTGTCTGAGCGAGTTGGACAGGCGCTCTTGCATCTGGGCGTTCTCCTCCCGCAGACGGCTGCTCTCCGCCCGCGCCTGCTGCAACTCCACTTCCACTTCACCCATCTGCTTCACCTGCCCAAGAGCAACAACGACATTGACGACGACGACGACGATGAAACGATGCTCATTTGAGCAAGGAGGCACCATGAATATAAATGTATTAATTTCCACACGGTAAGCCACTGCGTTGAGCTAACATTTGTGGCCAGGGCACTTCTGAAAAAGAAGCTAATAGCTCAGTGGGCTTTACCTGGTAAAACATTTTTTTGTGATTTGGTTACCTTGCCTATACTTTGCATTCCTATCGTGTTTTTCTATTGTTCATTGTTAGAACTTTCTGACCCATCCCCTACTGGACATCTGTGAATAAGAGCTTTATAGCTCATTGGATTCCTCCAGTATAAATAGAGATTCTGATTCTGATTACACGAGTGTGCATGTCCACCGAGACCAAATCATGTTAAACCTTAAAGGATCGTGCGGTAGTGCTCACTGACTGTTGATGGCCCATATCACTTCTGGAAAGGGCCAATTTCTCTGGAAAAAAAATCAGTGCCACCCCACCAACAAAATAATGCCTATGTTATTGACCACAGAATGATGATGGGCTCGGTTGATTCCTGGCAGAGGTTTGAACTTGCAAGCTCAAATGGTCTGCCACAGCACCACCACCTGGATATGTATTTATTCACAGGTACAGTATAAATACATACAATTTTGGAAAATACTTTTATTCTTAAATTGATTTAAAAAAGTGTGGGGGCAGAATAGAAATAAACTTTCCAGCCTCAAGACCTTATCGAATTCTACCATGTTGAAATCAACAAACGTAGTAATTTCAAGAAGGATTTAATAAAGTTTGACAGTAGAAATTTGCTATTGTACCATTAAAACTTTTTATTGCAAGTTTGAGGCTGCACCAAAAACACAATGTCAAATGTCACCATTTGTTTACCGACACATATGGGAATTTACATTTAATTATTATAAACAGCAATGCTGCCACCTCGCACTTCCTATTGTGCACATCTAAATAAGGGCAATTGAGTCTGGGCGATTATGCACAACTATACCAGAGTGCTTAGGTATGTGTTAATGTCCATGTGCACACACATGCATGCGAATAAGCATGCATGCATGTACAATTGAATATGCTCGTTGTAACTGTGTGCGCGGGTGTATACAGTCCGAGTGTGTGAGTGCTTTATGCACCTGCGAGCCTGATTGCGTGGATACAAGTAAGCTTGCGTAAATGCGTGTGCGAATGAGTTCACAGGCACACAAATTCACGCACTTTTATGAATTCGCCCACGAATTTTTGTACGCGCAAACGCGTTGCCCGCGCACGCTCGCACTCGCGCGATTTGAACGCACGCCTGCTCCCATCGTTTGGGTGTGGGCGCTGCAAACCGAGTGCGTGTACGCGCGCGTGCGTGCTCGTGTGCCTTCACACTAATCTCGGAGCCCGAGTGCACACGTGTGCGTGTGCGTGCGCGCGCGAGCTGGAACACGTGAGCTCGCGTCGCGCGAGCTCAGGGTGACGGCGCGCGTGAGCGCACCTTCTCCTGGTGTGCCCGGAGCTGTGCCTGCAGCACGTCGACGCGGCCCCGCAGGGAGAGCACCTCCTGCTCCGACAGCTGCAGCAGCCTCGCATGCGCCATGTGCCCATTCTGCTGCAGCGAAGCCATCGCCATCTCCAGCTGCGAGACCTGGGCGACACGGGGAGGGGCTAAGCAGGGTCTCGCACCGCACGTGCTGGAGAATAAACCTAGAGGGCAGTCGCCGTGTTATTGCATTCAGTTGCCCTCTCCCTTGGTGTCTCTCACCGACAAGACGGTACTACTGCAGACGGCACTCGACGAGTCTGCTGAGCACCAATTACCGGACCGAGTGTTCTGTCTCATCCACGCCGTGGTCAAGCACACGCACACTGCAGGTCAGAACTCTCATCGTTACGCTTCTTTTTCTCCCATTGCTCGACTTTCCAATTCCCCCCCTATCGTGTATTTTCCCATTTTCTGTTTATCTCTTCGTATCTTCTTGTTTTACTCTGGCTGCTTGGAGCGTTGGACCTTTGAGCCTTGTTACTAGGCAACTGTGATTAAAAGAAAAAGTAAACCAATTATTCGGTCCTGCTGCTGCGTTGGTAGCGGTGCATTTATTCAATTATATAAATACACGGGCACGCTCATGGACTACACCACTTTAAAATACCACATTTCCAGCAATTAGGCCTTAATTTCACGTACTATGAATGAGGGGGGGGGGCCTGCCGGCAATGTCACCGATTACATATTATTTTCTTTTCAGGCAGCGTTGTTGACGAGTGTGTTGAGTGTTTTTTGTTGTTGAAAAAAAAAGTAGCGTGTCAATTCAAAAGTAAAGTGTTTCCTTGCTCAAATGAGCACTGGAGTGGTGTGCTCATCAGCGTCGGCAGCCCTGACCCACTGGTGAACGTTCAAAAAGCCTTAGCGGGGGCCAAACTCTCTCCAGAACGACCAAGATAAATCTGCAACACGTGTATACGTGCGCTACCGAGGCCCTGCGGGGAGTAGCGTTCAGAATATTTGCCGGCTATACATTTCCACATGATAAGCCACTTCGTCGAGCTATCATTTTGTGGCCAGGCCACAGCTGTGTGTATCCCAGTGGGCTTTACAGTACCCGGCAAAATAAAAAAGTAAAATAAAAAAACTGTTTCGTTTTAGTCGAGTTGTAGGGGAGGGTTGCGGGGGTTGCGCAGTACCTTGTCGCGCGCGTGCGACAGCTCTGCGCGTGCGAGCTGAGCCTCGTGGGCGAGATGATCGTTCTCGCTGCGCTGCTCGCGAAGCTCGCGCTCCGCGAGGCGCGTGACGCCCTCGCGGAACAGCTGCTTCTGTTGGGACGTGTCGGACGCCGCCTGAGCCGAGCACTCCAGCGCGTACGCCTGCGGCAGCGGAGTAGATATTAGGTGTGCGGGGGACGGGCTCCGTGGGCTGTAGGAGCCACACGGCCACGTATGTTTTCGTAGTCACGACCAGGAGGGCACGGCGATGCGTGTTTTTTTTTGGGTTCTACCGCCACCGACGAAGTTCCTGAAGAAACTGCCAGAATGCGGAGCGAAAATATCGGACATCAGGCCGAACAAGCACGTGGGACAACCCGAAAACGCATGGGAGAGCTGTACAGAGGAGCCATTCTGGCCACGAGCCTTATTAGAATGCCGATGGACAAAAAGTTCAGCAGTTGTCCATTGGGTAGCGGTGATGATCCATGGAGATCCAATGTTAAATGCGAACTGAGTTTACAGTAATTCACAACCGAGTTAATTTGCCATTTATCGAGCTACGGCAGTTAACCAACGAAGGTGAGTAATAACTCAAAAGAGTTACAGCAATTAATAATCGAGTTCACTAGTCACTCTTTGAGGAAGAGAAATTACCAATATATTTATGCCATTACTCATCTCGTAACAATAACAATTATAGCAATTACCCAAAAAGTTGGATTAATCATTCAACAGATTTGGCATTACCCACTAAGTTCCAGCAACCGGCACCAAGATATTATAAATGCAATTATTTAGAGTCCTTTGTCAATCGCCTGCTGGATGAGATGCTACCTCAACATGCTAACTCCGCGCAGGTAAGTGAAGGGGAGCCAGGGCTGTTTCAGATATCACTGGGGTTGTCTGTGGCCAGGGATCAAATTCAGGTGATCACCTTCTTTGGTTCTTTCGGTAAAGTCACGTAGAATGAGAATAAAATAATAAAGTAACACAATAAAATTCACAACGCAAGCGGCCGTCTTCAGGTGAAAGGAACAAACCTATCGGAACGACAGAAGCTCTGTGACTTTACCGAAAGAACCAAAGAAGATGAATCCTTGCAGTCACGAAATCTTTAAATCAGGTGATCACGTTTATGGAACAATGCACTAAACATAGCACTCTCCTCAGATTTTGTAAACACACACACGTATACATAGATATTTAATGCTGATAAACACATTTGTCTTCTTTGGTTCTTTCGGTAAAGTCACGTAGAATGATAATAAAATAATAAATTGATAAAATAAAATAACACAATAATATTCTCACGACGTTTCGGCCACAACACAAGCGGCCTTCATCAGGTGAAGGGGGGCGAGACTGTCTGGTAGGACAGCGCTGGAGCGAAAGAGCCACGTTCAGATACGGCCTTTAAGCTGTGTGAGAGGAACAAAGCGCCTTGGACAAAGGAATTAGCATATAATTTAGCATTGAAATGGCTGAATGATTAGCTTGTGACTGGTCACAGAAATAGCTATGTTAAAAGTTAAAGCATACACACCCGCAGAGGCACCCATTGTTAAAGGGATTAGCATAGAATTTAGCATTGAAATAGCTAATTTCAATGCTAAATTTGCTTCAATGAAACCAGATGAGAACCTACTAAGACCAGATGTTCATTTTGCTGATCTCGTCAAGGGGCATAAACCATGAAGCGAAATCCGGTCATCCTCGCAGTGACTTTTGGCTAGCCATTGAACAAAGATGGTCACCACATCACGCGCTTTCAGATGCGCTTCTACTGCCGTCTGGAACACTCTTCCTTCCAATATTAGAAAGCCATTGGAGCTATGCACTTTTAAATCCAGATTTAAAACTAATTTCTTTAGAACAGTTTTTTTGTGTTTAGTTCGTTGTCCTTCCCCTGCACCTCTGATGAGCACGGTTGGCTATATACGGTGCGAAAGAAGTTTAACATACATACATACATAGCACATACGTAGAACGAGTCACAGATGTGGCAAGTGCTGCCCCACCTTGTCCCGTGTGAGCTGCAGCGCCCGCGTCAGCGACACCACCTCCTGCCGCAGGGTCTCCCTCTCCTGCTGCGCCAGGCGCAGGTCGGACTGGAGAGCAGCCGTCTGAGCCGTAGCGCTAAGAAGACTCGTATCAAGGCTCTGTATCTACTCAGGAGGTAAGCAAGAGCCATTCATCCAACCCACATGTGCACACACGTTGCGCATACACACGGTTAGCCAAACCGCATTCGTTTTGCTTCAAATTGGCAATGTATCTCATGACCATGTTAAACTTTAGAAATAAAATTCATCTTAGGTCTCGAATGTGTGTGTTTTTTTTAAAGATAAAAGTCTATCAATCTACCAGGAATGCAGCAAGGTGTTCATAAGCTATATGAACAAAAACACATTGCCATGATGGAACCAGTCTCTCCCTAAATGTATGAGCGTTGAATTCCCACAAAAATGGTACTCAGTTTATTAACCACGAAACGATTTAGTCTAGAGGTGTGATTGGGGATTTGAAACAGCAACATTCACGAATGTGATCGACCGCTCCAACCACGGATGACTAAACGCAACGCACAGACATTTCGATGAAATAATAGCCGAGTCAACTGGCGTCGTCGAATGACTGTAATACCAGCACCGCTCAAATGTGCCGCATTATTTGCCGAGGTGAAACGTGTCCTCTAGGTGTTCATACAAGATCACACGGGGGGAGGGCGACGGGAAGGCACCTTCTCGCTGGACTGGTGCAGGTGCTCGGACAGGGCCTGTGAGTGCTGTTCCAGCTTCTGTTTGTTCTCACGAAGGCTGCCCACCTCCCGCTCCACGTGAGAGAGGCGCGTCACCTGCACACGATCGACATAGAATTTAAAAACTGTTCATGGCTGAGCTGACACCTGACCGAGCCGTGGTGAGGTCACATTGTTCTGTCTCTCTCTGAAGGTGGTTTGGACGAGTTGTATTTTGCAGTGGGTGCCGAGGTAGAGTTTTAGCACATGAGGGGCGGGCCAGTGTAGGTTGTGTGGGTGTTGCGTGGTGAGAATAGGTGGTCTCATGTTTTTCTTTGTGAGGGTGGGTTGTAGCATGTGTTGTGTGGTGAGGATGGGTCTTCGCATGTGTTGTGTGGTGAGGATGTGGTGCAGTGTGTTACCTGGGTTCTGTAAGCGTCGAGCTCCCGAGAGAGCACGTCCCTCTCCTCCTGTAGAAGATCTCGGTCCTTCACCAACGTGGACAGCTGAGACACATCCTCGGCCGCTCGATAGAATGCCTACACACAAAAAAGGTAAATATCTCCACGCTCAACGCATCTGTTGGCAGCCCTCAACCAGCGCTGGAAATTCCACATGCAATTGACGAGAGCGAGTCTATTGCTTAAGATGACAATTGTTCTATTCCTGCAAAGCACTTCTCTTTACAATGACCCAGACAGCTGAGAAATAACAATGTTCTGACTCTAGAATAACTTCGTGACATCTTCTTTGGTTCTTTCGGTAAAGTCACGTAGAATGAGAATAAAATAATAAATTGATAAAATAAAATAACACAATAATATTCTCACGACGTTTCAGCCACAATATTCGTGAGAATATTATTGTGTTATTTTATTTTATCAATTTATTATTTTATTCTCATTCTACGTGACTTTACCGAAAGAAACAACGAAGATGAATCATTGCAGTCACGAAAGCTTTAAATCGAAACTTCGTGACATTTCTCAAAACCCACTCAGCATCACTATCCCACGTCAGTCAAAACACCCAAATGCATATTTGCATGAAACAACATGCACTGAATGCATCTACTACGAGTAAAGACAACGGGCGAATCAGGGGCAAACAGACAATCCACAAGGATCACTCGGCTACCTACTATCTGCCCTAGCTCCACCTACTCGCCACCTCGAATGCCCAAGCAAGGTTAGCGTGGTCACAATTCACGATGACCTTTGCAAGAATCAGAATGTAAATCTTGCATTTTGCATCAATAATTCCAGGTGAGTTTTGTTGAATCCAACATTAAAAAGGTGTCATATTGAGGTGGGTCGGTGGCTCAAAGGTTAGAGGTTGAGCTCGAAACACTAAGAAACGATTAACTAAATTTTTGTTCATGTTTAAACGAAACTATTTTTATTTTACTATATAAGGCCCGCTGAGCTATATAACTCTTTTTCATAAGCAACCTGGACAGAAATTATCACTCAACAAAGTGGCTTATGACGTGGAAATGTATAGCAGCCAAATACTCTAAATGCATTATTCTAAACGAGGAGGGAAAAACTGGAGGACGTGGAGAAAAATCCACACGACCACAGGGAAAATGCAAACTCCAAACACAGCAGGCATCAGGGCCATGATCAAACCCAGAACCTCCTGCATACCAGGCGAAGGAGTTATCATCTCGCACCACAGCACCCCAGAAGCCGGGTTCGAAAGCCAGGCAGCTGCCCGTGATTAAGCAGCCTATTGCTCTGTGTTGTGCAGGAGTGAGCTATAATGCAGCTTTTTGGGGTTAGATCGTGTAAATATATAAATGTGTCGTTAAACCCACCACCACCCGACACAGCCAACTAGTAAGGGTTGTCTCGTAAACAGAACGTGCCAATTCGTCACTAGTACAGCACACCGGTGTGTTGGAAAGACAAGGCACACCATTTACAATCTGAGTACAACGTTTCGCCAGTAATTACAACCAGCTTCATCAGGCGACAGCCAGACTTGTGGAGAAGTCAACCTGTTTCGTTCCTTAAATAGAGGCGTAGATGTGAAGACAAGACTTGTGCACTCTTCTTGCGTGAAGGGGGGGGGGATTAATGCATGCATATAAATGACTACGGATATCCATTTCCGTTTGGCTCATTTATATGGTAATCGACGTACATTATGCATGCGCATTATGCAAGCCGATTGGGTATGGAGTGAGCTACCTTATCCTTTGAGGCCGCCAGATCCCGCTTGAGCGTCCGCCTCTCCTCCTCCAGAAGGCGAACCTTCAGCTCGGCTGCCTCCACGGTCGCCTCAAGCCTGGCAATGCGGGCCTCAGCCTGTGCCGGGGAAGCAGTGGGACAGAAGTGAAAACATCCATCGTGTTCAATGAACATATTAATACCTTGTATTTGTGTTCCCTGAATGCATTTAAATATTAATTAGAAATCAATTACATTGCATCGTGGCATATGTTTTCTTGAATTTGCCTATATGGGCAAAGCACCCCGAAATATGCTTGATCTCGTCAGATCTCAAGAACTCAGCAGGGTTGGATGGCGCCTTCATGAGCAACCACCACGCACAGACAGATTGTGGTAGGGCAGCAGGGCTGGTTGTGGGCAGCTGCAGAGACTGTAGAAAATGCATTGTTGAACTGTACTTATATCCTCTCACAGAGGGGGCAGGAAGTGGGAGGGCAATGCGAGGCATTTGTATGTGCGCACAAATATCCCTTTAGTCAATCCACTGCTTGATGAGGGCCTCCGCACGTGATGCAGATTGAGTTATTTGACTATACCTCACCATGCTGATCGGTGCGGGTTGAAGAAAGGGGAGCAAATACGTGGGATCATAGAAGTACAGTACAACACTGGATTTTGATCCACTGCTCTCTGATGTCCCCTAAAGGGCTGTACAGTTTATGACACCTGTTATGTAGGTGATCACCCATCAATGGCTATGCTCAAACCTATTTATCGTCTGAGATGTGGCAATACTGGGCCCTCTTGACTGTTCTGAGGTACTGAGGGATCCCCCTCCAGGGTTGGTGCTTTAGACATATCTGTGGTCATTCCCTGGCCTTTGTTCTGATGTTGGGTGCTCAAGTGTTTACTGTGACCCTGCCGGGTTCATGTTGTGTTTACCCCATACGCTGATCTTGTTCGTGTTATTTCCCTGTGGTGTTCTCATCCGTTTATTTACGTAAAAATGTCACTCGAATTGTTCAGCGTTTTGAGATGCAATTTCCATGAATGACGGTATATAAAATAAAATTATTATTGTAGGAGGATTTTGCCAGCACTGAAATTCTTTCCTTATTTTTCTGGCACAAATTGCTTGCGTGGGCAGTGACAGGCAAGCAATCATTTAGTCCGATGAGCCTTGCAATCGAGTGTTTTCACGTTCCATAAACAATTATAAACAGCTTTAGCACAAATGGAAAATGGGTAAGAGATTTATACATCTGTCAAATGTTGCATAGTGCAGGGACTGCTGAGTCAGAGGGGGGGGGGGAGGAGCATACAAAAGAGGCAGGGCTGACTGGTGGACAACATGCGAAAGCCACTTCTAGGACATTCAACTCAATGGCCTTACCATTACATACTGTACTGAAGTTATTACTGCAATTGTTAAGGATATTTATCTGGCTAGGTGGTGCTATGGTCCTGAAGATCGCGAGTTCACATCCCCATTGGGAATCAACCCAGCCTTTTATCATCTCTCCAGGGTAAAAAAAAAATGAGTACAGTAAAATATCGTTATTTCGGTATTGATCACTTGTAATTGGGGATAGTTCGGCACGGCTAGGCGCTTTCGGCATCTATATGGTGTATGAGTAATTCACCACGAGTCGAATTGTCGCACCGAATGGTCAATTTGGCATACACGTGAGCGACGTCGCGCGCCACGACCAAAACAACGACTCTGTCTAGTGGCGGCGCGTGTGTGGCGAGCGTTCGTTCAGATCTGTTGCTTTGGACTTTACCTCGTTTATGCAGTCTGTGCAAGCCAGCCCCTCTCAACAATGGCATCTACATCTACATCAAGAAGTAATAGAAAGGGACTGAAGTATAAATCCCTTAGTCTGTGAGACAAATCCAAAGTTTTGGATAGAATTGATGCAGGTGTGTCGATGCGTATGGTGTATGAAGAGTTTGGAAAACAAATTTGTAAAAATTTTTTTTATTAGGGCAGGAGGCGCTGGGGAGTACCATTGTACATAATTCGGAATATTGGATAATTCAGCAAGGCCAGAGCCCCATGTGTCGAATTAACAAGAGTTTACTGTAATACTTTTATAACAGCACTCGTTATGTGGACCAACTGGCATTCATGCGAATGCTGTCGTATTGCTATTACCGTGTCGCTGTGCATTTCTAACCTCTTTTTGTCGCTGCTGCTCAGCCTCCAGACGATGAGAGGCTTCGGCCTGTTCGCGCTGCTTGGTAATGGCTTCGCGTCCACTAGGATGGCAGGGTAGGGCGCCATTTTGAGAGGGGCCATCCAATGTAAGGTGAGGCCTCACTAGGCCCGACTGTCCTGAAGTTGTTTTCATTCTGTCTTGGATGGTGAGGCAAGCCTGAGGAGACATGTTCCGTGGGACCCTCCAGACGCGGGGAGGATTCGGCCCTGTCTGGTTGCCTGGCAACCATTTCCTTCTGACTTGGGTGATGAGGAAGGCCTGAAGAAATGTGACTCGGGGGCTCTTCCAGACGAGCATAGGCCTCAGTCTGGTTCTGTTCCATAGTTACAAGAGCATCCAAGCCTTGTGGATGACTCGGCTGCTGATATTTGCTCGTGACCTGGCGAGACAGGGCCTCCAGATCCGCCTGTAGGCTCTTGCACTGTGAAGTGAGGTTACCATTGTCCAAGTGCAGAGTGTCGACTTCAGCACTCCTGTCCAAGATCTGCCAAGGGGGCACAGTAAACAAGATTAATAGCCAGTGCTGATAATACCACCACACAATTTCATCACTTACTTTTGCTTGATCCCTCATCCATCAGCTGTAACAGACAACAGTTGATATTTCCTTGTTTGTTCTTACAGAATCCCACCATCTGGTAGTAAGTCTTCCCCATGGTTACCAATCTTTAGATGCCACTCCAATGCCTATCTTGGGAACCTGTCCTCCTCCATCCTGCACATGTGTGCCACCCATCACAATCTCCTCTTTGTCCAACCTACAATTCTTTATTACCATGTACTATTACAAAACTTATCCTACACTACCATGAAATGCCTCGTATGTTCCACACATACCTAGAATAAACAGCCAGAAACTTATTTTGCAGTTTCTTGATTACAATCCAGTTCGTTTACTTATATTTTAACATCACTTCCTCATAAAGGCCAGCTGGCCAGGAAATTGCCATAGTTTAATGTTTATTCATATATCAAGGGCTGGGTAGTATATTGGTCACCTTCACAGTTAATTATAATAACTAGACCAGGTAGTGTGGAAAGATTGCTTGCTTTAGAATTCAACAATTCTGGGTTCAAACCCCATTTGAGGGTCCACTCAGCCCATTAGCCCTTGAAGATGAATAAAATGTATAACCACTTTGGGGGTGGAATTTCCGCCACTATCTTAGGGCCACCAATGGAGACGAACACCGCTCCATGTTAACCTGAGCTGGGAGACATGTTGATTTTTTGACTTTTGAAATGAGCATTTTTTTATGAACCAGTATTGAGTCAAGGAGTGATTCCAACTGTCAAAAAATGTAAAAGTACTATAGTGGTGAACACTCCAACCACCATACTGTCCTTGAATGTTGAATTATGGTACACGCACAACGCTGTCAGATTTGAACCAAATCCTGTTGGTCATCACATAGGCTATGCGTTGAGTCACTATCGTTTACACGTAAAGCATATGATCTGCTTCACCTTCTTTCCACTCCTGTCACTTCGTTGGAGGTCACCTGCTTTTTCCTCTGGTTGCACCCGCTGTCCGGAACGCTTTCCTGCTGGCTCTAGCCCCCTGTCCAATTCAAACTCAAAGCGTCTCTACCTTGTTCACCACTAAAGGTTAGCCATGCCACCCCGTATCTCATCATTCCCAGTGTATATATTTTATCTCGTGTTTATTTTGCAAGTATGGCTCGTACATGTGCATGCATTTAAACTAATGGATGGATCATACTGTGCACGTAACGTGTATCTCTTTTCTTAATGCCAGTGATATTCTACATGACAACTAGCTGCACAACCAGGTCACATACACGGTAACAATACAAGAAGATATTCTATTTTATTGCAGAGTAAAAGTCGAAGGATCTCCATGCTTAAACATGCACTGGGCAGGGCCCATTTCGGTATTTGTACCATTGGCAGATTATCTCTGTGAGAAAACACACTTACACAAATCGGAAGTTGTTTTATGGCTCAGGCAAAAATGATGGGTCGAGTCAACTGGCCAGATTATTTGAACACTCTAAACACCTGAAGTCATATTTCTTAGTTCTATTTTTGGAAATCCAAAATAAATTCCACTTATTTGGTACCAAACAGTACGAGTAAACACACAAAGGAAGAGCAGCATTCGTAAACAAAGGCGTCGTATAAGGAAAGCTGTGTGGCACTGCATCGATCGTGTACTTCAGCACCGAGATATTTTTTGTAAGTCGGTTGGCCTAGGTCAAAGTGTACCTGCTGATTCAGACTCTCCATGATTTTCTTGGCATCAAGGTTCTCCTTGTTCAGCTGCTCAACAGTTTTTCTGCAAGCGATAACAAGAGATACCGAGAGAGAGAGAGAGCGTGAGAGAGAGAGCAGATCAATTTTTTTTTAAGATTTTGCTCCAGTGCAAGCAGAGCAATTTTTCACACGACCGTTCTGTTCACCTTACAGCCACTCGCACAATTGATTTCTATCACATTTATTGGTAATTCAAAAAATGCAATCTACTGATTAACTGTATTATTAATCACACCCAGCGCTGATGTATTCCACTTTGTGCAACGGGTTTTTAATGACAATATATTTATAGCTGAAAGGTCATAATAAATGGCCCAATGTGTGTCCATTAAGGGTCACCAAGTAAGTGACAGGCAGGTACGAACATTTATTTGTTTACCTTTCTGTAACATTGACCCGTTTATATGATTAGCATATACTGTGCTCGTATGGCACATGCATATTATTTATATTTACAATCATCTCTCACACTCCACTGCTGATGAAGGATTTTCCCAGAGGCAAAGTCAAAGTGTGAGAGTGGTTTCAGAGGCAGATTGCGGAGCTGGCAGGCCGAGATCATGGGTTTGAATCTGACAACTGCCCCTGATTAAAACCCAGGTATACTCAAAGTGTAGTGATTGATGGGCACAGCTACATCACCAATGACTGCTGTAACCCCCCCCCCCCCCCCCCCCCCCCCATCATATAGTACATTTGCATTTAATTGTAATAACATTTCAGCCCAAAGAGTTATACATGTTTTGACTGTTGGGGCAAGTGGGAAAAAAAACTGCCCCCAATGTGGATAAGATGTCACTTGAAGACATTTCACACATAGTTCTGTGATATCTTCTTCCATGGGCTGTTCTTTAACATGGGGTGATGCACTCCACTGCAATAAATCAGAATGGAATATTTGTCGCATAACGTGACACCAAATAGCACAATCTGAATAAAAACGATATGAATGTCACAGCAAGTTCCCATGCTTAGACATGCATTAGATCGTGCTCATTGCTGTTGCTGTTCCTAATCAGTGGTGGAAATTCCACATTCCTGTGGTGAAGACCAGAATAAATATAGAATAACCACAATTGCCCTTTCACATTGCGGAACTCATGGTATCATTTCCTGGTAGGAGATGGTTAATTTGGGATTCGACCTCAAGATCTTCCGAATGCGGTCCTCTGCCACGTTGGCAATGTTTGTGTGCAGTATATATTTATATATTACATACATATATGGTACAGTATATATTCAGATGGGTGCTGCTATGACTAGAGCTGTGATTTAAAGCTTGCGAGTTTGAATCCTGGGGGGGGGGGGGGGGGGGGGGGGGGGGGGGGGGGGGGGGGGGGGGGGGGGGGGGGGGGGGGGGGGGGGGGGGGGGGGGGGAGGACTCAGTCCACCATCCTTTCAGGGTCAACACTTTAGTAAACGTTTATCAGGTCCTTTTGGCCCTTCACATAGGAATAAGGAATTTCCACCTGTGGCTCTGGGCCAACATCGAAGACATGCACCGCTCAACCTTGGAGGCATGGACTTGGAGGCACGTTTTATAACCTAATACACATCATAACCAAAATTGTAGGTACAATACCCATACAAACGATGAAAGCACTCAGACGGACTGTTAGAATGCAATTAGTAACACTGCAATGCCTACTGATGACAATGGAGACATTTATCATGGTTAATGACAGTGTTATATGCCAATGAAACTATGTTATGGACAGTGAGGAAATAATTATGTTCTGGTGTTGATGCATTGGGGATTCAAAGACAAAGATCCCCCGTATAGCCTTAACAGACTGTTGGGGCAAGTGCTATTAGCGAGCACCTATGAAGGCCGGCACGGCACACGAGGGGTGTGGTTGGCCAACCTACGCCCGGCCGCCTTTGTCTCCCCTGTGGCGATGTTTTACACACCGCACCGTACTCATTTGAGGCCGAGTCCACCTGGGGAGGCCCAGGTCCGATTCGGATAATCGTCACTGGTGTTGGCCGTGAGCAGAATTGAACTGGGGTCGCCAGGGTCGTAGCGCAGCGAGTTAACCGCAAAACGCACACACACTCGCACACACGTGAACATCCAAACGTCAAATGCATACACACGGCTTCAGAGCCGCTGGTCGATCTCTGTAAAATAGTGGCATGAATGCAAAATCAGTGGCTTTCTCTACTCTGTGCAATAAAAAAGCCGCGAGGGTTTACATTCGTGAAAATGTCTAAGAGACTACCTGTCCAAGCGAGCAATGTGGACACCAGTCATATGTCTTGAGCCTGTAGTGGAAATTCCACATTCCCATGGTAGGAGTAATTCTCCCCATTTGATAGCCACTGCTGACTTTCTACAAAGTGGTGCTCTATTCATCGACCCCGCAGGGATGATCGACTGCATTAACCCCACAACAGAGCATTGAAAATGCAACCTTGTAATTGTCCTTTGAGCACTTATCCAGAAGTGGCATGGGTTTGCTAGTTCAGAAATCACTTAAACTCTTTCACTTAAAAACTAATGGGACAAAATTGTATCTGAACAACGCACAATTTTTGTTTTCCAAAAACACCAAAGTTCCTCCTCTCAATCACTGCTGTTAATTCAAGAAAGCAGTGGTAGGCGAAGGTGTAACACAGCAGAAGATGGGTGCAGCTCCTTGCATGGACTGCACTGCATGTTAGTTGCCAGCGATGACTCATGCAAGCGGTATTAATTGGCGGCTCAGCTGGGTGAGGCCACGGACGATACCTGTGCCTCTCTGCTGCTGGCACCTTATCCCTCTCCAGCCCTCCGAGCATTGCGGACCACGCAAGATGGCCGCCTGTAGTGCCGCCCTCCCTTTCCCGGCAGCACCGATCGGCGACTTCACCTCGTCTTCAAGTCCAGCTGCATCGCCACCTTTCGAGTTGCCTTGCTTTTTTCCACGGTTCGTCCATTTCCACCAGACATCTCGTCTTCAACGCCACTGTATCCCTCCACTTTGTTCTTCACGTTCTCATTCGCGCTCCATTGCGTCCACACGATCCCACGTGGGGCGATGGCCTGGGATGGCCGCCTGTCTTCTACCAGCTTCCTTCCCTAGCTCAATTTCAGTAGTGCCATTGGGTCCACATTCCTCGGAAGATTCGATTGCTATCGCCGCATGTGCGTGCGCCGCAACTTCAAGCCCATTTATAAACACATCGCCCCAGCTGCAAGACACCCAGCTCTCTCTCTGACTCGGCGCAGCTGGATGTGGGGCGGCCTCCATGGCGAACACTGCGCTGGGCTTGGCTCACTGGCTGCGTGGTGCCTTTATGGACTCCAGCAGCACCAACATCCAGGCAGCGATTCACATTCAGCTCGGCTCCTCAATCCCTGACTTGCCAGCATCAATTTGGGTCCCATTACCATGGAAAAGTGCATCCGTGCGTTGTGCACACGCCATCAATGATAGAGTGGTGCCCACGTTAATGTGTTGTCCTGTCTGCAGTGAGGTTCCCATCTTTACCATCACTGCAATTCTGGTTTTAGCATCTTCTTTAGCATAATTGGACTGAAGGCTTCTGCGAGCTATCTTTGCATCTTGCCACGTGTTACCAACAATGTTTTCATCGAGACTTTCTCTGCTGCCGTCGCGCCTTGCACTCTCCGTCCCTTCGCCTGTCCTTCCAATCCGCACCCCTCACGGGGCTTCGAATTTTCATTACTGGTTTCAATTTCACCTCGGGCTGACATCGGTTAGGTGCGAGCGCTCCATCGAGGTGCTGTCCATCCTCATTTCTAACCTTATTTACCATCGCAGAGGCTTCCAAATCTTCCTTCCAGTGCACCCGCTTGACGTGTCCAGGTGTTTTTCCGACACTGCAATCAAGCTCATCATTAAACACCCGCGTGTCGTGTGGCCCCGCTGGGATCTTGCCACGGAGCCTCCCGCCGCCACTGCTCCCGCGAGATCTTCGGAAGATGGCCGCATAACTTCTGCTCATGATCAAACACCTCTTGCCCAGGCCTTGTGCTCATTATAATGTATCTTCTGAACGTGTGTTCAGAATGTACATTATTTTAATGATCACGTATAAATAATGACAAGACAATAAATTTAAGTGGTCTCACTGTGGCAGCCCTTAACCACTGGCAAATATGTAAACATTCCTTTGGCAGGGGGCCCACTCTCCCCATAAAGAACAACCAATGTTCACATTACATTTGTTGGCTGCTAATTATGTTATATGCACATCAGTGTTATTCTATTATTAGTATACTCAAGCTGTAATCGATCATGTTATTCTGTGTTTTGTTCTTGCATAGAATTCTAAAATTGTATATTTTAATGCATGATAGTGGTTATATACAATAGCATTATTAGACTTTTTTATGTTATATCTTTTACAATTGTCCCTAAAATCAATTGACATTATTTTAATATTTCTATAAAATAATTAGTCTTGCTTTTGCCACAGAGGAAAAACACTTGGAACTTGCATCTTTAGGAATTAATAGGCATTTAAATATCGGCAAACAAAATTGAGAAAAACTAACCAAACAAAACTTGATTATGTAATGTAACAACAAAATAATAAAATATTGACTTTCATATAGAGTAATAAAAGACAATAACAAAATATTTGGAACACTTCTTGCAAAGGATTCACCAACATTGGGCTGCATTTGTATCTGGAAACAAAAGTTTCACTCTTGAGCCAAATATAAAGCAAAAAGCAGGAAAATACCGAACCCATTGTGTGCGGGACACGGACTGTGCCGCAAACGCAGGAGTGCACAGGTAAGGCAAGTGAAAACTCATTACTCGAATCAAACTCTTGAGTAAGTTTGCTCAGGAACGTAGGCAAATTGAAAAAAAAAGAACTATGAGCAATAGCGAGAAATACACAGACTGCGCTATTGCACAAGCCCCATTTGGCAATAGAATGGTCGACGAGGTCCTCCCCATATCACAAGGGTCACGAAGGTTATTTGACCATGCTTCGCCATGCTGGTCAGGGACGGTTGGAGAAAGGTGGCGAACGTAGACGTGCGAGCATACGTTTGCAGAGCAACAATTACGGTATGTGCCTCTGCTGCACTGCCCTCTGCTGCCCACAACGTAGCCCCATATAGTACGAACATGTGGCTTTGAAACCAGAAGAACACAACAAGAATGGCAGGGCGCAGCAGCAATATGCTGTGAAAAAAAACACGAAGCTTTTCGAAACAAATTCAGCCTAACGCAGAGTCTAGAACAAATTCACCCACAGACGGTGTCTCCCTGCTCAAACGAACGTGAGAGAGAGAGAGTTCATCCTCCTAACCATAGCCCTGAGTCAGCAGCTGAAGTTCCACACTTGCCGAGGTGCTCGTCTGCTGGCCAGTCCCCTCCATAACACAACTACTGGTAATTAGCACGGTGTTACTTTATCTCTTATGATTCTGCGATGCAATACTCCACTGAGAATCCGCAAACAAGCCGATTTCATCATTCCATTTCATCGGCGGCTATATTCTTGGATGCGTACCATTCTCTGGCAGCCAATCTGTCATTTCCCTTCTAGTGATGTGTCCTGCCCAAGCACTTCCTTAATTACTTAACACATTATCTATCGCGGGGAGAGTTGACTCCTGACTTATGATTTAAACTCATTACCTTCTGAATGTGAGCCGAGTGCTCTGCCTACGCCCAGCAGGTTCGTGCATTACGTCACCAATTATTGTGTAATACAGGTGATTAATACTCTGTGGTCAGAGCATTCAATTTACAACACCATTAATACAAACAATTCTAGCTATAGAGAAATTTAGCCCATCACCTTCCTGGGATCAATAAAATGTGCCACTTTACAGTAAGCCAGCATTTTTTATATGAAGGTATCACATCCTGCAATAAATCTGTGGAATTTCCATCAGTGACTCAGTGCCATGCATGACTGCGAGTGCCATCCAATTCATGTTTGAGCAAGGAGACACTTTCACTTGACTACGACTAAACAAAGCCCTCACTGAAACCACTCCCTCCGACTGGCACACATGCACAGGCACACATCCAGCAAGCACCCGCGCCCCTCTCCCCTCGTGACGCTCTCACCTTTGCTGCGCCATCTCTGCCTGGTGTCGGTCCGTCAGCTCGCGCTGCATCCTCTCGCGTTCCTCGCCCAGCTGCCTGGCCAACTCCGACACCTGCAGCGCAAAGTGCTGCTCAACCTCTGCCTTCTCCATCTGTAGCTTCTTCTCCATCTCCAGCTTCTGCCTCTTCAGCATGGCCTGCATCTGTAGCTTCTCTGCCTCATAGTCCTTGGCTCGGTCCACTCCATTGGCCTGCAACTTGTTGTGGATCTTCTCAATGTCTGCCTCAGTGGTGGACAGAATCCGACCCTTTTCCCGCTCCACCTCGTCCAGTTTCCTCTTGATTGAGGCCACCTCCTCGTCTTTGGCACTCAGCTGCGACTGCAGGTCGCCACTCTCCTTTTCGGCATCCCTCAACCTCGCCGAGACCCTGTCCACTTCTTGCTCCTTGTCACTTAACGCGACCCGCAACCTCTGCATGGCCTGCTCGTTGGACTTGAACGCCTTCTGCCGCCCCTCCTCCACCTTCTTCTCCAGCTGCTGCACGTGCTCTTCGCCGATGGCGTCGAGGAGGCGGGCCTTCTCCTCCGCCTCCGCTCGCTTCTCGTTCAGGCGTGCAAGGGCTTCGTCTCGCTGAGCCCTCGCCTCCTCAACAAGCTCCCTCAGCGAGGCCACCTGGACCTCGAGGGCTGAGTGCCGTGCTCGGGCATCGGCCACCTTCGCCTCGAGACGGTCTTCCGTGTCGTGTGCCCTCCTCTCCGCCTCTGCCCGGCTTTGCTCGAGCTTCGCATTAAATTCCTCCTCCTGGTCAGAGGAACGAGAATGTTACAGCGTTCAGATATAGGGCGCTCGCAAATTCCTCCTCCTGGTCAGAGGAACGAGAATGTTACAGCGTTCAGACATAGGGCGCTCGCAAATTCCTCCTCCTGGTCAGAGGAACGAGAATGTTACAGCGTTCAGACATAGGGCGCTCGCAAATTCCTCCTCCTGGTCAGAGGAACGAGAATGTTACAGCGTTCAGACATAGGGCACTCGCTTAACTGCGTAAAGGTCCTTCAAGAGCCGACAAATATATATTTTTTATTTGGTCAGATGGCATTGTGGCTCACAGTTGGAAGGTCATGAGCATTCATCTCCTTTTGCAGTGAACTGAGCGCATCATCATTATGCCGCTGGGGGCAATAAATAAGTGACACTTGTGCAATTAAACAGTAAAAGTGTCTCCATGCTCAAGCAGGTGTGGGTCAGTGCTGCATTAAAGGTTGTTTGGCCCTGACAGTGTTGACATCCAACCAAGCAGTAGTATATTTTTTTGACCATGAGAGAAGATGGACTGAGTAGATGACACCCAATCTGGTTTTAAACTCATAAACTTCCGAATGTGAGCGAAGAACTGCCAGCTGTCTAGATATTATAGAACATACAGTATATTACTGGATATAAATTATGCATACGTACATACATACACACACATAACAAATGCACATTTGGGCAGAAATATATTCCAATTTCACAAATATTTTGTGACGTTATCGAATAAAAGAGTAGGCCACGTGTGCCGGCGTCACAGTACAAATTTGACAAATAAAAAAAATACTCACAAATTACTAAATTGGGTTAAATCACATAGCAACACCGCCTACGACTGGCAGAGTATACATGTCTGTGAAACTCAGCGCCTTCGCGGGAGCCTGGTGCTTAAAGAATGCAGTGAATACCAAGTGTATTAAACGATTATCATTATTAATTCAAATCTGTCAATTGTGGAGTGGTCCCACGTGGTCTGCGCCACATCATTTACTGCTGGGATGTGTCCGACCCCCCGCCAGCTGGCAGAGAGCTTACCTTGGAAGTCAGCGCCTCGGTGAGACGGAACACTTCCTGCTGGTGCTGCTCCTTGAGATTCTCCAGCACCAGCTCGGCCTCGATACTGAGCCCAGGCGACACCGCCTCTGGGGAGCGCACGCCTGCGGCATGGATGCAGAACAAACGCAGCGGTATGCCGAATGACAGCACGCATCCGGCAAACAAACGCAACTTAACGGTCGTTCTCTCAATGCGACGCGACCATTTGCCAAGTGAGGGCATCTCTCCCGTGCTGAAGCGGGGTCCTGATGTGGCACTCGTCTGCCACTGGCCGAGGAGTATATTCCACATTTTTACGAAACTTCTAGTAAAGTGGTGTTTATTTTATTGACCCTGGATGGGATAATAGGCTTAGGCAACATCAAAATACAGCAACTATTTGAATGCACAGCCTTTCCCCATGTGAGTCAAGTGCACGAACCAGTGCCAATTATCTGTATGCTTTCATGTTAAAAATAATTATGTTCTAGGAACGTGTTAGTTTGAAAATATAAAATAAAGTATTATTAATTAGAGATAAGAAGATACCCCAGAAAGCTGTGTGTATCCCAGTGGACTTTTGGCAGGCTGAATCAAGTTCTATCTGATTTAAGGGATTAGCACTGTTGATACAGCACTCAAATAACACAAGCTTTTACAAATGCACATTCTGTGGGACTTCCCAAATTACAGTGCTCGGTATTCTTCCCAAAGGTATTGCCAGTGTGGTGGGCACCGTCTTGATGCAAGGAATCAAATAGGAAATCTCACATGTCTCAGAGAATGACCTGTGTATATATTTTTTAAGAACTTCTCCAGGTGGGTTTTTGTTTTTATCATTTCCACAGAAAGGGTCAGTGTGTTTCCCATGTGTTCTTCAATGAGTGTGTTTATTTGACCAATATTTTTTAAACCCGGACCTGCAATCCAGCCTATTCAAGTGCATTTTTTTTAAACAAATGGTTTATTTTGTGTGTAGTCATTGGCCATGAACACATTACACTTCAGGACATGTATTTATTAATAGGCAGCTGCTTGGGGATTCAAACCTAGGAACTTCAGCGGTGGCAGCTCAGCACTCTTCACCTTCGAGCCAACTGGTCTCCTACAGCATTGTGGGATGTTTTTGTAGGAGGGCGATTCTCAATTGAAAAAAGAATAGGCCGCCAGCCATAGAAATGTGCAATTTCCAGTCGGCTCAGAGTTGCCACTGAAGATGAGTCCCCTGCGAAAACTCTTAAGGGGCCACACACCTTTGCGCATGATGTCGGGCAGTTTTCTTCGGATCCTGGAGCGGAGGGATCCCGTGCTGCCTATGCTGCTCGCCGACATGCTCCGAGCATCTAGAGTACAGAGAAGCGATCCACGAGGCAAAGTCAACCCTGAGGTACGGTCTCACGGCACTGTGCAAGGCGCTCTTTGCTCGCTGTGCTGACAAAGTGGTAATGGAATGTCAGGCAAACCGCCAACCCTTGAATGTGGCTGAATAATATTTAACACGGATTGAACAGTTTTTGAATTAATGCTTATAATTTCATCGATATTTATATTTCAATTGTGTGACTGGAATTAGAAAGTGTCATAATGATGTTATTCATTTACAGGTTGCCATGCAAGTTTGATGATGCTGATGACGATATTGTATGTATACGTGCAGGCCTCTGTTAATCTACTGCTGGATGGATGGGAGTCTCTACATGCCATGCAGGTAATGGGGCCTACTTGCCCATACTTCACTACGCTGGTCAGTGCAGGTTAGTGAAGGCAGGGAAGCATAGACATTGGAACACAGTACAGTACAACAATGGATTCTGCTTCACTGTCATCTGCTGACAACGTATGTAAGAGGCTCTGTAATGATAATATAATTTTAGTGAAAGACGCTGATCAAGTGCAATTATTATGATGAAAATTTTTGTGTCAAAATTAGGTGTAATATTTATGATATGATGTGTGCAAAAGAAACTAAAGACAAAAATATAATTTTAGCGAAAATAGGCCCAGGGCAAGTGAATTGTTAATGATGTTGCTGCTGACAAGTGCAATTTTTTTTATGTGAACAATATTAAGTGTAATTATTAATCTGACGCTGTGAAAGGTGTTATATACGTGTAGTAATAACAATACACGTATTTGGTGTTACATATAATATATGTGAAAGATGCTGGCGATGCGCCGCGAGACATGGAACGCACTGCTCGAGTGATCGAACGATCGCACGAGCCCCCGATCGCACGATCGCACGATCGCACGATCGCACGATGTTCACGATCGCACAATCGCACGATGCTCACGACGAGCACACAGTCACGTGACATGCGCGACGCACCCTCCTGCCCCAGCTCCTCCCCGCCCTCGGGGCTCATCCTCTCCCCGTTCAGGCGGCCGCCCTTGCGGGGCAACGCTCGCGTGCGCAGCAGCTCCACCTCCGACTGCAGCTCATCGATCCGGTCCTGCATTTCCTACGAAGCGGGTGCGGCAGCAGCAGTTGCACCACCATCATCAACAGCTTTAGCAGTGTAAAGGAATAGTATCAACTGCGCAGGTGGTCTCACGGGGCCGAGAGGGGACGCATCACAATGAATGGGGCTGCCAATGCACCACCCCCCCAGCTTGCTGTTCTCAGGACTAGCAAGCGAACGTATGAGAATTTGAAGAAATACTGCATCGGGTGATCTTCGCCACAAAGTTACCTATTTATTCTAGATCTCATAAACTATCTTTATTTTACTGGATCACTTTGTCACGTTTAATTATAATAGGAATAGTAATTTATGTAAATTTGTCAATACAGTGCTGGAAGAAGTCCTCCTGGTTTTTTTGTGTTACCACTGGTGACCGGGAGAAGACCATCGGCCTTTAAGTGCCAGTACTGCGTCCAACTTCTATAGATTCAAAGATCAAACCGCAGGTCACTCTTGCAAATGATCGTAGTCCCTTCCAGTTCTCACCTTGGTGATATAAAAAAGAAAACTCGTTTCCCTGCGTGAATATCTGCACACGTAGTGGCTGGTGGCGCGGGGGTTGCATGCGTGAGAGGAGGAGTTGGGGGGGGGGGGGAAGATGCTCACCCTGCACCGCTGCTCGTGCTCCCGCAAGACGTGAGCGAAGCGCTCTTCTCGCGCCAAGAACTCCGCGCTCGTGGGGTCCAGATCATCTCCCTGTGCGGACGGAGTGCACGCGCGTGGCCATCCCGTCATTTTGAAGCGTCATCAACAGAAAACTCGCCGTCCCGAGTTCAATTACCGACGACGGATGACATTAGTGGCGGGTGGTATTTCGACTGGTGCTAAACCACGATTTAAAGCTTCCGCGACTGCAAGGATTCATCTTCTTTGGTTCTTTCGGTAAAGTCACGTAGAATGAGAATAAAATAATAAAATAAAGCAATAAAATTCTCACGACGTTTTGGCCACAACACAAAAGGCCTTCTTCAGGTGAAAGGGACATACTTGTTGGGACGACAGAGCTTCAATAACAGGTCTGTCCCTTTCACCTGAAGAAGGCCACTTGTGTTGTGGCCGAAACGTCGTGAGAATTTTTTTGTTTTATTTTATTATTTATTCTCATTCTACGTGACTTTACCAAAAGAACCAAAGAAGATGGTGCTAAACCAGTTGCGGTTAAAGTATTGTCAAAACAATCCCCATGTATGGGGGGAGGTATTCCCACAGCAGTGAGTGGACCGACAAAGGGCTCTAAATCCAACAACAACTGGAACACCACGTAGAAATCGTCTTTCCGTATAAATAATTGTGGGATGGTGTCTCTTCTCCGTTGGCAGCCCTATAGACGGTGGTGAAACTTCCACGTTTTTACGGTGGGGTCCACGCTTCCCGAATGACGACCACCGTCGAGGCACAACGTGGCGCTGTTTTTGTTGACTCTGGAGGGACTGTGAGATGAGTGGAGCCCTGACCACGACATAAACCCGCTGTACATTCCGGCTGTGACTTGAGCACTGCGACCACAGTGCCGCATGGTGACGCATGTTGTGTTACTAGGAAAGCCACGTGATGATTGGCGAGTTTTGTTGCACATGGAAGGCAACAAAAGTGCCTATAGATCAGGAATCTTGAGCAACGGGCAGTGCATTTATCCGTTAGCAGTCCTAAGCCAGTGTTGGACTTTACACATTACCATGGAAGGGTACAGAGTTTCTCCACAGGGCAACCGATAAGCGACGTTTTCTAACATCGACACCTATTTTATCGACCGTAGAACAAGGGTGAGCTAAGTGAAAAGTCGACGAGGGCCAAGTCGACTCCGGCACCGAGTTTAGGATCCAACCCGGGATTTGAACTTTCGACCTTGTGATGGCGATCCGCGAGATCTGCCTGTATCTGTATGCCGGATGACGTCACGTGGTGTTCGACAGCTCCCTAGGAGAGGGCAACCGATGGTGCGAAGCACGGCGACTCACCCCGCCGTGAAGTGCTCTGTGCAGCTGCTCCTTGAGGCTGGACACCTGCTTCTCCGAGTCGGCCAACCGCTCCGCCAGGTCGCTCAGCTCCCGCTCCAAACGGGAGTTTTCCTACGATACACAAGCGGCGCGCGGCATCAGCCACGCACATGGCAAGCAGCACGCATCGCCGCGCGCGTAGCAACGTGGCGCACACACGCAGCTCCCTCCATGCACCTAGCACGCAGCGTGCATAAAGAACGTGCCGTACACACGGTGATATAGCACACACAGCTCCCTCCATGCACATAGCACGCAGCGTGCATAAAGAACGTGCCGTACACACGGTGATATAGCACACACAGCTCCCTCCAAGCAGCTAACAGGCAGGGCAGGACAGGGTGGGTGGGTGGGTTGGGCAGCTGGGGTTAGTGGCGGCACCTTCATGGTGACCCCAAGACGGTCCCGGAGCTCGGCCTCGTCCTTGCGGAGGTTGTCGATCTCCGCCTCGAGCTTCTCGCGCTGTCGGTTCACGTGGCTCATGATCAGCTCGCGCTCCTTGTCCATCTCCATTCGCGTCGCTGCCACTTTCTCCCGGCAATCCTGCTCCAGCTCGCTGCGGGAAAAAGACAAATAAGACCCCCCCCCCACTGCCGTGTAGCCTTAACATACTATAGGGGCAAGTGCTGCTAAGCGAGCACCTATGAAGGCCGGCACGGCACACCAGGGGGCGGGTGGCCAGCATCACGCCCGAGCCGCCTCTCCCCGGTGGCGATGTTTACACACCACACCAGGTTACTCATTTGAGGCCGAGTCGACCTAGGGGAGGCCCAGGAACGGTTCAGATAATCGTCACTGGCGTTGACCGCGAGTGGGAATCGAACTCGGGTCCCCGGGTGCGTAGGGCCGCGCGTTAACCGCGACACTCCCGCTCCCCATACACGCACGCGCGCACACACGTCCGTGCGTCTGCTCAGCAAGAGGACGCGGGATTTGTGGGTGCAGGGTGAAGTAGGGGAGGAAGCCGCGTGGCTCAGGGGAGTTAATGCTGATGACAAAGCAATGCTATGGCTTTAAATACTAAATTAACCACAGGATATATCGTAATTCAACAGAAATGTGTTGAGATTTAACCATTTTTAAGGATGGCGCGGCGAGATCAGTTCCCGTGCAGGTGCCGCATTGAGGGATAGCGAGAGGTGGCGGAGGCTTTGGGAGGCATTCATCCAGCAGTGGATTAATCATGGCTGATGATACATTTTCGGGGTGGCTCCAAAAAATGCGAGGCCCTGCGCTGGATCCACCGAAAGGCACCGAGTCAATCCGGCCCTGCTGGTACGTTCCCCATCACGCAAACTCTGGTCCATCCTCGCAGCGGCTTTTGGCTCACCATCGAACAAAGACGGTCACTGCATCGCGCGCGTTCAGATGCGCTTTCAGCGGACGTCTGGAATGCTCTTCCTTCGAATATTAGGAAGCCACTGGAGCTATGCACTTTTAAATGTAGATTGAAAACTCATTTCTTCAGAACTGCTTTTTGCGTTTAGTTTACCGTCCTTCCCCAGCACCTCCAATTAGCACGGTTGGCGACATACGGTGCGCTAAAGAAGTTCAATATACATATACACAATTGATCCCAGTGGCACGGCAGGGCACCTGATGCGGCTGGAGTTGAGGCTCTCGAGTTGGTCGTGCCTCTCATCCGTCTCGCTCGCGAGCTTGGAGCAGCGGCGCTCCGTGCGCTCCAGGTCCACGCGAAGCTTCTCCTTCTCCACGGCCGCCTGTTCCGCCTGGCTCCTGCGCAAGCACACACGCGGGGGCACGCACAGGCACGCACGCGCATGCCCCCCCCTCGCCGTTACAACCTCCAGCACTATCACCCACTGTGGCTGCCAGAGTTAAGAATAGTTCATAGTTCATAGTTCCATATATTTGGTATAGCCCTGTGAGCCATTCGGCTCTGGAATCGGGTGCAACCGCAACAAACAAAAAACAAAAACACGAACAAGACAACATCTTAAAGTGACTATGTGACTGTGCAAACAGAAAATCCAGGAAAAAAAAACATCAAAATATTCCTGAAATAGCACCGTACACCAACGCTGTGTGCAAAAATCCCAGTGGGATGCAAGTCAAACAACAACAACCACAAGACAACTAAGATTTAGGCCATCAGTCTAACTACGTACTACAATAAACAAAAACATGGCCAAACCAAAAAAACTTTTCGAAATCACCAAAATAAAAGCCATAAATGCAATGTAACAGTGATCATAGGGACTGTGACCGAATTTTTAACAATAAACTACATAAATAAATTATAACACCAAACCCTACAGCCATATTTTAGGCCACTGAATAGCAGTGGCAGCTAGGGGTGGACAACTCTTCTAGAGCAGTTTTGAGTGAAGATCTCATAGGTAGTGATTCAAGTTGCAGTTTATTGGCAATAGCATTCCAGACCTTGGGGGCATCAATAGCAAAGGCCCTTCCTCCGGTTTTTGTACGGCAATAAGGAATGTGAAGCTGGTAAATGAGCGAAGACCCGAGGTCAAATTTGTTCTTTGAAACAGAGAGGAGATCCAGTAGGTAGTCTGCGGATTTTTTTGTAAGTACATCGTGAATAAATAAGATCTGGTGCACAAGCCGTCGAACATTAAGAGATGTTAAGTTTGACCCAATGTAGAGATCACAGTGGTGAGTCCTATATGGGCAGTTCAATGCAAATCTTAAGGCCAAGTGATAGATGGAATCAAGCTTCTTCAGTACAGTACTTGGGGCTGATTCATACACGATGTCACAGTAGTCAAGTAGAGGCAGTATGGTAGCTTTTATCAATTCAAAACGGAACATTGGGGGGAAGCAGTGCTTGTGTCGATACAGAAAACCAATTTTTATTTTTGTCTTTTTACCAATATAATCAATGTGATCTTCAAAATTCAGTTTTGAATCCAGGATGACCCCAAGATACTTATAGATCTTGACTTGCTCTATTTGATAATTGTTCAAGGAATGTAATTGGGGAAAAATAACTTCCTGCTTTAGTCCCGGTGAGAAGCATAGCACCTTGGTTTTAGAGGTATTCAGGACTAGTTTAAGAGAAACTAGCTGATGTTCTAGTTTGTTGAAATCACCCTGTAGCTTAGCAATCACGTCATCCGGAGAGCGGCCAGCAGTAATCAGTATCGTGTCATCTGCAAAAAAGATTTACCCTGGAATGATCCAGGTCAGTGTCCAAGTCATTGACATAAAGAGAGAACAAGAGGCGGCCGAGGATGGAACCCTGTGGAACCCCTTTTGTTATATTAACACTGTTTGACCTCCAACCATCTGTGAATGCAGTTTGGGTGCGAGAAATGAGGTAATTTTTTTAACCATTTTACTGTGTTATCGGGAAAACCGAGGCATGGATGGGTGTACAATGTGGATGGGTGTACAATGTGGATGGGTGTACAATGTGGATGGGTGTACAATGTGGATGGGTGTACAATGTGTATTCACTCTGCAGATACGAATGTCGATGAATGTACGAAGTGTGTTGCCTTTGTACATGTGGATATTTGTGAAATAATTAACGAATGTATTGAGTGTTGTGTTGGAGTGATAAGCAAGGCATGCTATGATTAAGTGCCGTGGTTATTACCCTGTATTCTGACAATTGCAGTTTTATTTATTTCGCCGATTATGATATCGTCATACTTGGATCTGAACTCACGGGGATCAGGATAAGATCCAAATCTGCTCTAGTTCCATCTCTGCTGCATTTGTATTATTCCACGTTGTCATAATCGGTAGCCTTGCAGCCTTTATTGTCAATGTCACCCCGACTGTTGAATGTTTCTATTCCTTGACTTAAAGCTTTCGTGACTGCAGGAATTCATACTCTTTGGGTCTTTCGGTGAAGCCGCGTAGATAGAAAAATAATAAAAATAACGTTTCGATGGCAACACGAGCAATCGTCTGCAGGTGAAAAAAATAGAGCAGGCCAACTGTTGAGGCAGGGGAAAAAAAATGTTATGCCTCAACATTTTTCTATCTACGTGACTTTACTGAAAGACCCAAAGAGTATAGTTTATTTTTTGATGTAAAGCTTTCGTGACTGCAGTGATTCATATTCTTGGTTCTTTCGGTAAAGTCACGTTGAATGGAAACAATAAAATCATAAAATATATATAAAATAATATAGTATAGTTTATATTCCCATTACCAACTACTACCTGGGATGAACTGGTGGCATATTGGTTAGCGTGCTGCGCAAGGAAATCGGCGAGTGATATCTGAACTGTTTTGGGTCCTACCCCTTCACCAACCCACAATGACCAGTGTGGTGAAGTATGGTCAAACAACTACCATGATCGACACGGCTTGGGGATGCCGTCATCCAGCAGCGTACTGACGTGCTGAAATGACACTTACTATTGTATTGTATGTGTTCTGTGTGTGCATATGTGGGTATGGGAAATAGTATCATAGTGGTCAGTGCACGCGACACTGCTACTAATTCAAAAGTTAACTTAAAGCATACTAGGTAAGTCATGACAGAGCCAACAGAGACTACCAAGGGGGATCAGAGCTTGGCTGAGTCCTATAGCTTCGCTGCAACATATTAGACTACCTTTGATGTAGACTTTTTGAGATATACTTCACCCTCCACCAATCCCTATACGTGCTAAGATATTGCCTTCCAAACAAACTAGAGGTGAAACACTTGCTAGGGTCGCCAGCCTGATGGGGAGTTTTAATGCAGACTGGCCAAACTGGTGAAGCCCCGAACACTCAATTCAAAATATCTAAACTCAAAGTCAATATTTTGATTTAAAGCTTTCGTGACTGCAGGGATTAATATTCTTGGTTCTTTCGGTAAAGCCATGTAGAAGGGAAACAATAAAATAATAAAAATACAAAACAATAAAATTCGCACGACGTTTCGACTGCAACACAAGCAATCATCATCAGGTGTGAAAACCACCAAATTTTCTTGCTGTGGTTTTCACACCTGATGATGATTTCTCTTTGTGTTGCAGTCGAAACGTCGTGAGAATTTTATCGTTTTAGATTTTTATTATTTTATCGTTTCCCTTCTACGTGGTGACTTTACCGAAAGAACCAAGAATATCAAAGTCAATAGTTAATTAAACTCGGCAGAGGTCAAATCAGCACTAGACGATGCCCTGTGGGTTGGGGTCAAGGTGGCAGGCAACACGCAATGAGCCTCGGAATGTCCCGCCGTCTTCCCTGAGGGACGCTCCACGATGCGACCTTTCAAAGATGGTTTCATTGCCACTCTCTGCCATCTTGAATCAAGTTTCGAAGGCTGGTGCTGCCGACGTGACGTCACAGAGCAGGTGTGGCCCCTCACCTACACTGCTCCACATCAACGTGCGTAGAACGCGAAAAGAGCCCGCGTCCCATCACTTACCTATTCCATATTACAGCGTCGTGCGCGGGTTAATTGAACTCCCTCTCTGTCCGAAACAGAAGTGAGCTCATCAAAAGGGTAAATATAACGAAGAATAGGCTAATTCAATTCAATTCTGCGCTGCCTCTGATTTATATTCAATGCTCTCGCATATTTCCATGGCCACTGTTCAGACGCTAGAGAAGCTAGTCCCACACACGTATTGCATGCATTTAATTATTTAACTCACTGTATTTTGCTGCCCCGCTCTTTCATGGTTCGCGTCGGGCTATTTCATCGTTACGGAGTAATTCTTCATTCGTGAATTCGACCATTTCTGGCTTGCGGCAAACCAATCGCAACTGCTCGTTAAAGACAAACAAAACCAACAAAAACGAAACGATGGCGGGCTTACGCCCGAGCACTCACCGTCGTCCGAAAAAATCAAACATCATGTTGGCGGTGAAGAGCAGAGATGAAGGACCGCACACGGCCGCGTGTCACCATCGCTAGCGGTCGGTCTCCATCGCAACAACGTTGCTCGTCGTTCGTTTCTAAATAACTCCCCGTTTTGTGGTTGTAGAATGGAGCCGAATGAGAAGTGGAGTGCGCGGGGTGTGTGGACGTGTGAACATAACGATCGTTGCTCGAGATGAGCAAGGGATGGTGGGGGGGGGGGGGTGGTGCAACGGGGACAGCCGGTGATTTCAAGAGTGTCACATGACCACCTCTCAACACAATTGTTGCAAAGCAGGAGCACTCAAACGTGCCAAATAGTGAAGTGCGTGTTTTGCCCGTGCCCTCCGGCATGTGCGAGCGGACGGTGAGCACGGTAACGCCGTGGGGGAAAAGTGGTGGCCAAACACCGACTGGACCTTCCCTAGGTTATTAGAGCCTAAAACGTGTGGCTCGAACAGTGAGGAGACAAATGTGGCCAGGCATATGGGGTCCTAGCCATACCCACTCATGACGCGTTCCATGGCAGCTTTGACTACTCACTTAACACTGTGCAAATGGTCGTTCAGACATACCTACTCCTGCTAAAACAAATCTTTGTCTTTGTTGTATCGGTGCCTACGTGTGCACCTGTGAATGTTTTCATGCATATTTTTGTTATTCAGGTAAGATATGGCTGCATCATCAATGGAGAAATATTTGACCCTGCAGTGTTCAGAACAGCAGCACGTATTTTAGCCTTAAGGGGCTCCCAGAGGCATATGGTATAAGTGAACATTGATAACTGTAATTTACTGATGAGTTCGAATGAGGATGACACTGGTATACAGATGTGTCTTTGTTTCACTGCTGCCTGATGAGGTGGCCACATTTTCTCAATTCTCCGGTGGCCTAAACAACAAAATGGCCACACATTCAGTTCTGTTGAGCTGGTGGTCTGGATAAGGCTGAGAAGCTATCGTACACGCAATGCGCATCTTTGCGCGTTGGGTAAGCCTACTTGTTTTTCCGACCTGCACTAACTTTCCTGCTGTTATGGGTTTTCTCGTCATATGCAAATTTTAAATTGACATATTCAGCCGTAGTGCCAAATAGTTGCACAATGTAATCTAACGGTTTAACGCAAAAGGGCCATTCCGGACAGAGTGCGAGGGTGCACGCTTAAAATGTGAGTGACCGAGCCACTTGACAATGGATATCCTTGTTGATATCCTGAAGTCCGTGACGTGTTTTCATTTGAATGTAAGCCACTCAACCACAAGCATGTGCATGTTTTTTGGGCATTATGTAATCAGACAATATGAACGAAGTGATGACTTTCCTTTGCCAGAACCTTGAATTTTTTCCCCCTTCATAAGGTAAAGCTGTCTTGTCAGCAAACACGATGCAAACATTTACAATAAGCACATCCCTTCCCCTTTGAGCATGGTTGATGAGCAGAGGGTCCCATGCCTCTTATGCAAAGTGGCGAGCTGATGAGAGTTAGCTAGACGAAGGATAGCAGGTGAGAGGTGACAAGCTTCTTTGCGCGGGGGAAGGGAGTTCTGACGCTAAGCTGTTTGAGACAAAAAACTGGAAGGTAAAATGCTTTGTCCTGCAGTGAAGCAGCTACGTAGAGTATGGACAACAGGAGCTTTATGAGAGTGCAGACTGCATTCTAGAAATCAGAGGCAGAAACAAGGCAACACACATTTTTTTGGAGCAGTGGCTGTAATAGTTGCCATAATAGAGAGACAAGGAAGTAGCCGGTCATGGATGAAACAATTAATGCCTTGTAGTGAATCAGTTGGTTTAGTATTGAGAGTCACGTGGACTGTGTCAGCTAGAATCCACAAGAGCCACGCAGTGTACCGAAATCTCCTACCCGCACGCGACAGAAATATTACCATATTGACAGCCTTAATTGTCGAGTCCTTGCTAAGTGGCTTTTAATATTATAACCACTGAGCTTCCCAAGTGGCAGTGGTTAATGAGGATCGTATGTGGTGGAACGTGCTGCCTAACCCTGCCCTCACCGCACAAGACCGGAGAGAGCCACATACATCAGAGCATTAGAGAGCTCTGCAGCTCACACGCAACCACTGTTGTCAATCAACAGATGACCGCAATGCACCACTACCAACCAATATCAACTTTATATATGAATTAAGACTTGAAGGAGATGTACTGCTGGGAAGCATGAGCATTGGCATTTTGGATTTGATCCAAATGATTTCGGACTTAGTTATGAGCGTGCTTCCATTCCTGCATGAACAAATAATACAAATGAAATTTATAACTGGACAGCCTTTGTAGACAAGTCAACAATTTAGAGGTGCTGAGCCAAGCTCAGGGCTGCTCGAAAGCCCTGACCAAACGAATGTTTAAAAATCTGTTGTGTGTCATTGCGTGGGGAGGGGTGGTGCAGTGGAGAGTGCATTTACTCTACAAACGCTTAATATCAGTGGTGAGGAGTATCTGAGTATGTAGTTGGGTCTTCCTTCGATCAGCTCAGCTTCAAATGAGCAGCTGGTTGTGATGTGTTAACATCGGCATTGGGTAGCCTGCACTGGTACTGACCACACCAGCTCGTCATGCACCACACTGGTTTTCACAGGTGCTCGCTAAGAGCACTAGCTCTAACAGTCTGTGTAGGTGATACAGGGGAAATTTGTCTCTGTGCATGTGTGTAGTGTAGCGGTTAGCGCGTTGAGCTATGAACCTGGCAACCAGAGTTTGATTCCTGCTCACGGCCAACACCAGTGACGATTATCTGAACCGGTCCTAGGCCTCCCCTAGGTCGACTCAGCCTCAAAGACAAAGGCAGCCGGGGAGTGGTGTCGGCCTTCATAGGTGCACGCTAACAGCACTTGCCCCAATAGTCTGTGAAAGGCTACATGGGGGATCTGTGTCTGTGTCGATGTGTCGTACCAGACCAAATTTTACTTTGGAGACTCTAGAAATAAAGCTGAACTCGCAGATCATAACCGTTATGTGCGTACACGCTGCCCGTACCTCTGCGTCCTCACTTCCGCCTTGTAGGCGAGCAGCGTGACCCGGGGCAGCCCGTCCCCAGAGGAGAGGATCTCCGCGTCGATGGCAGCGGTGAGGTCAGCACGGCACACGCGCTCACTGCCGCTCAACTGCAGCGCCTGTGACAGCGTGACAGTAGAAGCGTCTCTCTTGAAAAAAGTTCCGTGACATTCCACGACACGATGTTGCACTTAATGACATTGTTTTACACGAAGCATGTTACAGGACGTCTTTGTCTCCTCAGTGCTGATGGTCGAGGGAAGGCCCAACACCATGCTCAGATATTCCTCATCAACGATATTAGTCACAGCTGGAAGTCGAACTCTGATCTCCAGGTGCATAGCGCAATACTCATATCCACCGCACCCACCACACGCACCACACGCACCACACGCATGCGTGCAAGACGGCAGGTGTGCTTTCTCTTTGCAGCTCCTTCTGTGTGGAATGCACTACCCACTATACATACGTCAGAGATCAGCTCCCTCTCTATTTTCAAATCATACTTAGAAACTGTCTTGGTAGCCATTTGATTCGTTACTCCGCAGTGTTTCTCGTACCTTTTTTTCAATGCCAACGTGTTTTGGGATGCTCAGCGTACTGAGAGTAAATTTGCGCGAATGACATCATGGAAAATAAAGTGTAAAAAAATATATTCTGCCATCTCAGCCGGCTCTGCGGCCGCGCGTCTCGCCTCGAGGATCGTGTGCGGCTCCGCCACGCCGTCGGCGAGCCACGAGTCCAGGAGGCGCTCGGTGGGAACGCTGCCCGTGCCGTCGTCCAGATCCGAGAAGAGCAGCTCGTGGCCACTGGGTGCCAGCAGGGACGGCGTGGCCGTGCGTCGCCCGCCCTCCTCCTGGACAAACGCACACGCAGCCACAGTCGTGCACACCGTCGTTATCGTCAACATCGTAATCATCGATGATCAACCCCGCTGCGCTTGAGAACCCCGGGCGGCTACCTGGATTTCAATCCAGTGTTTCAGAAATCTGAGCCACCTTGGCAACCTATAAACGGTACTCATTTTATGGACTATTAAGCCCAGGATCGATACCCCACTGGGATTTGAACTGAATTCGCAGCCTTCCGAATGAGTTACTCTGCCACCACACACACACACAATGACAAACGGTGGTACACGCGGCAAGGAAACGCACCGGCTGATCAAAACGCTAAAGAACACGCCGCGTGCATTCCCGCCGAGTTAACGGCGATTCCCACTCACGCGGCGCTGACCCGCATGGTGGCGCGCGTGCGTGCTTCTCCCGTCCACACCTGGCTGTAGTGGAAGCGCTTGAGCTGTCGGAGGACGCCGGGAGGAGGGGGCGACACACTCGGCGTGTAACGTCCCAGGGACAGGTTCTGCGAGGACAGACTGGTGCGCTCATCATCCAAATCTTCCTCCTCCTCTTCCCTCTGCTCCTCTGGCTCAGCCTCCCCCTCCTCGTCCACTCCGCTCTGCTGCAGGAGCTGCAGCAGCTCCGAGCAGCTCACCGTCCCGTCGTCCGCTGGCTCCAGCTGGGCCTGCACCGCCTGCCACTGAAGCGCAGGGGGCAACACCGACGACAAAAAGAGTGCAAGAGGTGGCAGGTGATTCTACTGATCAGTGGGGCTTCAATAACTGCAGAATACATGTATCATGAAAGAAACCCTCGTGTTATTAGGCCAGATAGATATCAAATATTGCTCCTCAAGTCACGGTCGGAAGGCCACATGTTCAAATCCTTGTGAGGAGGTTGACTCAGACCATTATTTTTCATGGTTAAAGAAATGACCACACATTTGTAGAGGGAACGAGACTGAACTAGAAATGTGGAATTTAAAACCGGTGGCTTAGGGCCACCATTGGTTTACTGGAAAACTTCATCATCTTGGTCATTAACTATTTCCAAATTGTATTATTTACATTTTTGTTTCATATGGTAGTATGTATTTGGAAATTTTAAAAAAATAAATTGCAAATGACATAAGGTTATTTTTGTTTTAAAATTGCATAAAATTACACAGTTTTTATTAGTTACAGTCTTGAAGGGTCGAGTGAATGCGTGCCATTGCATTTAGCAAGATTATTCAATCAACTTAAAACCATAAAAATGCTCACCTTTCGACCACTAACATACTGGATTTCGCGAAGTTAGAACTGTCAAAGTGGCACTCATCGCTGCACGAGAGTCACCGCCATGCGACACTCATATCTACGTGACCTCCGATTAGCACGGTTGGCTACGTCCTGTTCGAAAGAAGTTAAACCGTACATATGTAGAGAGTCCACCAGATGAAGATCGAGACTCGATACTTTTCTTTATTCCACGCGAGCTCACCGCCGCACGCGTCCACCCCACTCCGATTCCCTCCAAGAAGCGCCTCGATCGCCCCGCCTCTCCCGGTGACGTCACCTCTCTCTCTCTCTCTCCCTTTCCTCGTGACGTCATCCTTACAGCGTACCCTTGGATCACGCGAGTATTCCCACCCTCGGATCACGTAAGCATGAGCGCTACACGTACATACACAGCTGACGCTCATCATAAAGCGACACTCGTCTCCGTTCCACGCCCCGTACCTCGTGCTGCAGGTGGAGCTGCGTGCACACGGCGGCGGCCTCCTGCGGGTCGAGCCGCGCTCCGGGCTCCAGGCCCAGGTCGGCGAGCAGCCGCTCCTCCATGGAGCCCAGCGCGTCCGGCGGGTCCGCATCGAGCACGCCGCTGCTGCTCAGGAAAGACGACGAGTGCCACGGGTTCTGGCCTGTGCGGCGGCACGTCGGCGGGCGGTTAGCGAAGGGGGACAGTCGAGGTGGGGCTGCGCGGGCTGGGTTGGAGTCGTTGTTGGCGATTTAACACTTTCCCGTTCCGATGACGTATGTAGGGGCACGTGATCAGTTTTTTTTTAATTCCGATTCCGTTCCGATGACGTATGTGGACGGAACCGGAAGGAAAATAAAATAACTTTGTCAGTACCGAGGCTTCCCCACAAGGCCATGCGGCTTGGGCATGTCGCACAGTTTGGCGCCTGCTATAATAGAGTGCGTTCGTGTCGCTAAAGTTCTCTGCGGTGAGTGCAATGTCCTTAAAAACAATGGGGCTATGCGTCTCTAAATAAAATTAACAGTTAACCGCTTGCAACCACCCGGAAGCTTGCAGTCATCTCTGAACGAGAAAGGGTTAAGTCGAGGGATTGGACAGACAGGGTATGCCGATAGTAAAGGTGCAGCCCTACAATCGCTTGTTCTCCCCATTGCCGGCAGAAGGACCACAGAGTATTTGGCCTACCCTTCGACACTGGCCAGACGTCTTGGAAAGAAGTGGGAGTACCCCACCACACGCAACTGAGGTGTACCCACTGATGCTGACAGAGGTACAAAAGGGTGGTGGATTTCAGAAACCTGCCCGTTGTTTGAAATACCATGCCAGGAGATGGAATCCAACGTACGACCTCTGGATTTTTTTTAAAGGTCACTGTGCAAACCATTACACCGCGGCCACTCCCCTCAATCAAAATGTTGTATAAAAACGTATATAAGTTTAAGTCCGTTCAAGGGTGGGATGGTAATTAACCCTGAGCTGATGTGATACATTCCACATTTCTGTGGAAGGGGCCAGTCTCCCTATGAGAAGAGGGTCACTGAATGCGAGCGGCAAAGTGCTAGTTATTGTGTGAACTGCAGAGGTTTCATTGATTTGAACCCTGAATGGGATGTGAACTTATGTGGAGAGCTCTCGAGACAGAGCACCACCTGGCTGTATTCAAACCTGCACACGTGCACTTCTTTAACATCTTCTAACTTCAGTTAATTTATTCTAGGGAATGTCACCACCCTATCGTGTGCTACTATTTATTATAAACGTACATTATATCAGATGGAGAATCAGATTTGTTTAATCCTGACATTCTTTAAGGAATGGTTTGCATTTTAAAATAAACAATCGAAAAATCAAGGTTGATGTTTCTCTTCGCTCAGACTAGCATCGAGGCTGCACTTATCTGCCACGGCTGTCCTTGAAAATCAGGGGCTCGTCTTTCTGCAGAACAAGTCACTCTCGACTTCCCGCTAAGAACTATAAATCACACGCGGCGTGCACTATCATTACAGAACTATTCAGTGAATGAGGTGATGGAATGAATTTACGCCGTGTGTTTTACAAGCGCACTACGGTGCTAAATTATCACCGGCGCAAAAACAAACTCAAAATTCCCATTGCGCTCACCTTCGGCTTCAAAGGTGTCCTCGCTCGGCCCAAAGACGCCTCCCTCATACACATCCTGAGGCCAAAAAAACAACACATTCTTCACGAGGCTGCCTTGTGACCCTGTTGCATATTTATATACACATAGTGGTATAGAGGGGGGGGGGGGCAGTGGGTGGCGCATCGCGATATTAACCTGGGCGAGCCTCAGTACGATTCCCGGCCATGGCAAGCATCGGTGGCAAGTGATTCCACCCCCCCCCCCCACCGCCCGCTACCTTCATCAACCTGCACTGGCCAGCATGGTGAAGTATGGTCAAATAAACCCCCCGTGACCAACACAGCATGCGGAGGCCTTAATCGAGCAGTGGAACTGCCAAAATAGACTGTATATTGCCTTTACATTTCTATTTAGACAGTATTCTTAAGTCACCGGCTGGTTAGCACTGCGGGTGAGTACATTCACATCCCGATCAGAAGGCCAGGAGCTCAGAAAATCCCTGCAGGTGAATAAAATAGTGCCGCATTGTTGACAATCAACAGAAGTCATCCCGTGGAGGGTTCTGGACCACTCGACAAATATTCCGATTCCTATCCGACTGGGCTGCCAAACGGCCCATAATATAACACAGAAGATGCGCGTCGAGACCAGAAGGTGGCACCGCAGTGCACTTAGAAAGTGCCCCAGGGCTAAACGTGTATCATAGAAACCAAAGGTAAATGTTTTTTCAGTGGCAAATTTTTGCACGGTTTTTTCTTGGTTAAAAAATGTTGGAGAGAAAAAGAAACCTCAGACGTTTCATGCAAAGACAAAATGATCCAGGTAAGTGGGGGCTACATCTCACTGCTAATGAGGCTCAATAAAGTCGAAATCAGTCCAGGATTTATCTGACTTAAACGACAGCCTCTGGAATACATTGATCCAGTAAGGTTCACTGATCATTAGATACAATCATTACATCTGGGGAAGCACCATCATTTGTATTAAGTGAGGATAATGGGCGGAGTTACCGATCAAACTGCTGTTATATTTAGCGTTATAATTAACTACCCAGGACTTGTATGGTGGTCGCTTTTTACATTAAAAAAAAATCACTACCAATGTGGGGTTCAAGTCGGTGTGTCTCCATAGCCAAACTAGAAATGGGATGATTGTTCACCTCTTTTGGAAGCTCCGAACCCGTGGTGGAAATCTCACATTCCCATAGTGGGGGAAGGGATAGGATGACAAGAGCTGACACCTTGTGGGACTCCATTTTAATGAGACTCAACAGAAATAGGATGTTGCCGTATCAACCCTCGGGCTGGGATTCAACTCACAACCTCTCCACTGCTAAGGCAAGTGCTCTAACCACAGTGCCCCCCCCCCCGCCCAGATGACGCTGGCAGTGAAACAAGTAAACAAACTTTCCTGCTCTTCACCAGACTACTAAGAAGTCAAAATGTAAAAGGTCTCCTTTTGCCAGGAGCGACAGTCATTTAATTAAGGCTGTGAAACGGCCCAAAGCAAACACCGTCAATCTGCCGCGAAATGCGTGGATGGTGGATCAACAAGGTCCACTTCCCGCAAGCCCCTTTGATTAGCAAGTCCCGGCTTGCTACCACTGTGTACACAGTCTCCAGGCAGCTTCCCGGCCGTGATAAGCAGCAGCGGTGTGCCGACATGCAAACACAGTGTCCATGGCAGCGATGCACACAGCTTGCGCGGGGCTGGGCGGAAACCGGGCCGATCAAAAGGCCGAGGCTGGTCTGGAAGAGTAAAACCTTTATTAAAACGAACGCTTCATGGTCGCACGGCTCAAGAGTGAAAAGTATTTCCCACGGGGGCCCTGGGGAAATGATGCGTGCGGTGCTGGCCAGAGCAATCGCGTGGTTTTGGTGATCAATACGTATAAAACCATTGCTTAAAACGACTGCGTGTATTGTATGCATAATGTCGTGAGGACAAGTTGTTTCATTTTTGCACAAAATATGAAGCGCATTGCAGGTCCCCAGGAAGGATAATGGTCCCATGGCAAATTAGTGAGCCAGGATTGTGTACAACTGGGTTTGATTCCTGGGTACCTATTCAACGAAACAACAGGTACAGAACTCTGGTGTAATTCAGTCAAACTATACATTTCTGAAGAAAATTAATTTGGTCAAGACCAGCTTAGAGCACTTATTCGTAGAATAGGTATAGGTTAATATGTTGGGTAAGACATACCCTTGAAAGACATATGGCTAAGACTCGTGATGTTGTTCTTGCATCAATCCAAAGACAGACAACTTTCCTTTCTTTAAACGATCGGAATAAATGAAAATCATTACTGTGGGTGGCAAAACATTAAAGTAGGTGATCGCTCCCATCTGTTGGTGGTCCTGCGCCACTCACGGGAATTCCACATTCTGATGATGGGAGCCAGCCAGCCCACGGGATAACCACAGTAGCCGTCGTCCACAAACTGAGATTTTAACTCGCTACTTGCCAACTGTGTTGAGCACTCTAACCACAGTGCCTACAAGCCCCAAAGGTAATACGATCAATAATCGTTTTCATTGGAACTGTGTAAACGTGGAATGTACCAAAGCAAGGCGCAGTTTAGCCACACACTTTTCTTCGCGACTGTTCGCGGCAAGCTCCGTGTAGGCAACGTAGTGGCACAACGTACCGGCCGGCCGTTGTGCAAGATTGGCGAGAAGGGATCGCCGGTGGGATCGCTCCCTCCACTGCTGCCATCCACCTCTTCGCCATTGTCCGCCGACCCTCCGTCCCCGTGACCCAGGGAGGCTCCGTCCCCATTCCACTGCTCGGACAGCGAATTCTCTGGCCGGGAGCGCCGGCCATAGCGTTTCCCCCCCCGCACCAGCTTGGGCTCCACCTCACTGCGCTCCTCTGCCTCGTCCTGGTCGGTGCGCAGGGAAGAGACTCCGCTCTCGTCCACCTGGTCCGCTGTGAGGCCATCGTCCTGCGAAGGCGATGTCGCGTCGAGCTGTCCGTCTGGTAGGAAACGATGGAAGGGCAAGGTTGTTATCGATTTGCGTAACAGCTCGCAGGTGGCTGCCTTTAAAAGGGATCGCCGACGATGCTTGTTCGAGCTTAGGGACATGCCTTGCGATGATGCTTCGCTTGATTGTTTTCTTAAACGAAGTTAACGGTTCAAAGTGCCGAGGTTAAGCGCCGAGAGCACCACTGAAAATTGTGCATCATAAGTAAACATGATGGATAAACAAAAAAATTGGCTGTAACGAGTTATCAACTCCACTGCCATATTATGGCACTTTGTACATTTCAAGGATTTTCATGACGCTGTACCAGGTATGGGTCTGTCAGTGTGAACTGACAGAGCGGATCACTTTCATGTAATTAAGACCTTATGCAATCAAAGTCACAAATAAAAGACACATTTACTCTGGTATTTATGGCGGCCAAAGGCGATGAATCAAGGAGTACTTGGCACGGCACATTCCGCAAGCGATGGCATTTGCAGTTTATAGCCCGACAAGTCAATAAAACCCATTGGACCAGATGACGAGGGCGCCCGAGTACAACGAGGTCAAAGTCGGTCGGGGCAACGAACATGACAACACTTAGACACACCCGGCCACTTTACGGCAGTACATTCGGGCGATAAACACACCACAAACAAGGTAAGGTCACCCGGGGTTTTCTTGAGATTGTTGAGATTGCGAGCCGCCCGGTGGCGAGATGTTATTTCCCTCACCTGGTGTGCAGGAGGTTCATGGGTTCGATCCCGACCCTGACGCGCGTATATTTGGAATTTTGATGTCTCTCTCACCGTGGTCATGTGTATTTTTCTCCAGGTCCTCCGGTTTTTACCTCCACATTTAGAAACATGTGTTTAGAGTATTTGGCTGCTATAAATTTCCACATGATAAGCCATTTCGTTGAGCTATTATTTGTGGACAGGTCGTTTTTGAAAAATAGCTAATAGCTGTAGGCTTAACCCTCGTAAATAAAATAGTATAGTTTGTTAATAGTTTACATTATCAGGCTTATCCAATGGCAATATTGTTTTTTTCTGTGTGGAAATGTATTAAATAATAAAATAGTGTTATTTCTTTTATAAAGTCACAAACTCTTTCAGGGAGAACACTTGCCAATTATGGTTACAGAGGCAAGTTTAAATTACTTTGTTGTCATTTTGAATTATACAGAGATGTGGTGGCACTGTTCTTCCAGCTCTTAACTCATAATCAGAAGATTGCAAATTTAAATCCTAGATGGGGGTCAACTCAGCCCTATCATCCGTTAGGAGTCGACAACATGAAGACCACTTTGTAGGAAATCAATGTGATGGTCCTATGGAGAAGCTGGCCTGCCAAAGAAATGTGGAATTTACACCACTTGCTGACTGAGGACCCACAGCAGAAGCACCCCAGTGCTAATTTGAGCAAGGTGACACTTCACGTTTTTATGACAACATATATTTTTACCGTTTATAATTTTTTCCCAATTTTACTCCCAGTGTGTTATCTGGTATCTTGCCACGAGACGAAGTATACGTTCAAATCTCTTGCAGAGCAGTGCAGCACTTCGTGTTAGAGAATGGCCGAGGTAAGCGGATATCGTAGAGCTACCTCTGAGATCCCTTCAAATGACCCATGGTCAGCACAGTAAAGGACAACACTTTCTACATACGAGAATGACGTTTGTCGCGCGAGTCAAAATTTTATTTTTCATTCTCACTGCTGGAATTTAGCCGAATGAAGTGCAAAAACAAATTTCGTGTGATGCTTTTTTTTTGCGCAGTCATTCACGGCTGGCCTTCAGCTGCCAACTTGCTATGCTTGAGAACCCTCGTGCTACACTTTAGTTTAATCGCTGGAGACTGCCTGGATTTAAAACTCAGGTTCTCAGCATTGCCAGCTCAGCACTGACGTGTGAGCAACACGGAGCGATTTGACAAAAAAATGAATTTCAAATATAATCTTTCAACGATCACCTCTTCATTTTCCACCGCAATAATTCACACTCACCTCACCAATTCGCCTTTCCGCTCCTGCTCCCCCACTCTCGAGGAACCAGCGAGGCGATCGTCACCAACAGCAACAGGGCGCAAGAGAGCGGTGGCTCAGTGGCTCACAGGGATGATGCTTTTGCAAGGGTGCTAACGCAGCACTTTGTATTCTCACCAGCGTCAGGCTCAGTGCGAACACAAATCACCTTCGCCTTCTTGTGGTCAAACGGCACTCATGTGCAACGAATGTTGTGGTCTCAGCCCCGATCACAAGTGCCAGACAAAATAAACCGTCCAAAAATAAACATGGGGACAATCGTCGGTCGTACTGCACTTTTGGGTCAAAACATAATAACAACAATAATAAAATAATAGTTATGTATCCAAGAATGCCTCAATGTGTCTCAAGATGTGTTTCATGAGGGTCCTGGATTTAAGGTTCCACCGCGGTGGTGCTTGATAGCCTTCGGATGTGGTTTTTCAGGTTGTACCGTGAATTGTTCAACACGATGTCCAACGTTTCACTCCAATGCTGACGGCGGCTCACAAAAACACATCGGAGACCTGAATTAGGAAGTTTGCCCTATTCCTCTTCAAGGAGTGTTTCATCTGGAAGAAAACCAAAGTGCCTGGGGAAAAAAAACCATAGATAAAGAGGGGCTGACACTACAAGGTCCTCACAGATAGGTCCATGAACCCATTTGCTTACAGTGATGTTAAGGCCACTTTACAGCTCAGTGGGTTTAGTATATTTTTCAATTTACATGATCCATTTAACCCTTGTGTCTGAAGGACACATTAAACAACGGTGGCGAGTGATATCTGAGCAGGTTCTGGGCTCTCCCCCCCCCCCCCCCCTTAATTGCTTCACCAAGCTGCACTGACCAGCGTGGTGAAGTATAATCAAACCACGATGATTACAATACAGATGCGGATTGAAAAAAGGGCTAAAAATCATGACTATTAATACCATATGAGACAACCGTAAAATAAGCCCAAAAAATAATATGAATGCATGCATGCCAAAAGTTTACTGTGCCAAAAAAATGTACGTCAATGAGGAATGGAATTTCAGAAATCAAAACACTGGCTTGATGTTCCAATTTCAGCAAGCCTTCATCTCTACCATATATACGCTCCATCTGGACTTTGTCAAATGAATCATCAGTGCAAATAAAGCCTTTCATTTAACCAGCCCTTTTTATGAAAATAGATCATACGTTATAATAGGTTTCCCCCCCTTTTTTTCTGGAAACAACTGAAACCTTTTACAAGCAATCATGTTTACATTAACCACAATACCTGTGGTCAGAATGCAAACAAAAAACACTGATAATGTATGCATTGTCCTTGAAATTGATTGGTCCACACCAGACAATCAATGCAAGGACATTGCATACATCATCAGTGTCTTTTTTGTTTGCATTCTGACCACAGGTATTGTGGTTAATGTAAGCATGATTCCTTGTAAAAAGGTTTCAGTTTTGTTGCCAGAAAAAAGGGGAAAAAACCTATTATTATATTTTGGTACTGGCAAAGGAGGCCTCATGATGTAGATAGATCATACATTGCTATATATTCACTAATATCGAATAGAATCCACCTTTTTTGCCTATATGCATATAGTGAATTAAAAACAGCCTTAAGGTTTCAGTCCTTCAAGTCTGAGCAGAATCTCAGCTTACAGTCTCTGTCATTACATTTACGTCCGATGGTAGCATATAGTCGGAGATCACAATGGTTCACTCACTATCTAGCCAAGTTGTAAGGTGTCAATGGTACATTTCTTATAACACGAAGGAAACCCAGTGATTTCTGCTGTGCTCAAAAGTTAACGTTAAGAGCTCGGTGACGGAATGTATAAGGGGTGGTGTACCAGGTGTACGAATCCGCATCGTCACGTCTGAAAACAGGTGTATCGCCGTAAACAAAAACAAAACCTGTCTGTTCAAAATGACGGAAAAGGTATTTCTGTAAAAAAAACACTCAACGAACATCAATGGGCTCCCATGGTGGTCGAAAATCTGTTGGACAAGGCCTCGGAGAGCATATTACTGACTCCATTCTTAAACGCCACTGATAGAAATGCACTCGTATACCTGGACACCGTTACGGCAACAATCGGAGGGCATGCTGGCCGTGAACTCGCACGCAGTGGCGTGCGGCACAAAACAATAGCACGCGTGGGTGTGTTGTCATCATACAAGCGTGTTGCTCAAGTACGTGTATGCCCTGGTGGTGGTAATAGCGACAGGGGATCGCCCTATTAAGGGCAACAGGTCGAGCCAGTTTTGTGCGCGGGTCCACAATTCAATTCGCAACTGCAGTGCAGCATCACCGTGATATGGCTGCACCTGACCGTGGTTATTGGCAATTTCGTTTTTTTTTTCTAAACAGTGTGATAGACGTACGTCCAACTACTAAGGGGGAAGGTGGTTACGAACAATAAAGTCCGGCTGCAAGTGTAGCCAATTGTTAGAGAACAAATACAGGGCGCTTATCACCAAGGCTGTTGGGTCTATTGTTGTACCACTGACCTATGCAACGACACTTTGGACCATATAATTGGCTTGCCTTGTCTTGGGATAGCGTTCTATATGAACCAATTAGAGATAAAAATACAGGACGTACGTAAAATTATCATCTATTTTCATGGAGCAACATTTTGAGATTGCTAAAACTATTCGCATACAGTTGCACACGTCTGGTGGTATGAAGATTTGATGACACGAGTTTCATCCCTGAAAACCTCCCCATGTGCACGACGGCGTTGGCGACACACATTGCGTGGGAAATCTCACATTAACACACTGCCTGAAAGAGAACAACATTGAACAAAAAATTGGTGGCATCACGCCCGATAGCCCCTCTTTCACAGCGTGTGGTGTCGATGTTTGAGATAGTCCCAGATGTTCGCCAACATCTCTGTTGTGAGCATCTCCATCGGTTGAACTGCACATTCCAAACTGCTAATAATAATAATACATGAGAATAGGTTTTCCCTTTTTTCTGGCAACAA